TTGAAACAGCAAAGTTTCGGATACTTTATGATTTTAGAAGACAAAATTCCTCAGTGAGTAAAAAAGGTATGCAGTTACTCAAAGAAGGGTGTTATGAATTTTTGCAGCTTGTCCTAGGGAAAAATACTATTTTCTATTCACTCTGCAGCTTGCTTTATCTGTGTCTCTTACTCCAGTCTGAGGGATGGAAGGGCAGGTTTTCACTGGCCCAGCCCAGTTTTACGTTTTTAGTGTCAATTGTAATTCTTTGTTTTTGCTTTTCATAGATGGACATAAAGAGAGTCCCTGGCCACATAAACACTGACATGAAAGGAATTTCCTTATGGCATGGCCACTCACATTTTGGACCTCCTTCCATGTTATATGCTAAAATACCCATAGTAATTTTATATCTCATTTTGTTATCTGTTAATGGAAAATTCTATCAGACCCTCTTTCAATCTTATTGAAAGCAAGAATGAAATGGCCCTACTTGCATAAGGATGTGATACACAGCCTTTAGAAATCATTTGCTTTCTTTAATCTACACTGATATTTCAAATGTCTCCTTTTCCATAGGTTTTCACATTCTGGGCTAAGGCACCATTGTAAGATATGGGGCGTTTGAGGGGTACAGCTTGCCTTTGTTCTTGTGGGAGAAGGGTGAACATGGAAGGGGCACTTGAGAGTCACTTTCTTAGTAAGGAGGCCATGTGGGATCGGGGACATGGAAATTCTCTAAAAGCTCTCCATGCCTGGCTGTAATTCTCAGAAAGTTCTCAAGGGATTGTAACCACTGTGCGGTTAGGAGTTTTCTAGTGGCCAGTGTGCCCACACTGGGTGTGGCAGAAGGAGTGGGAATGACATTTGGTTAGGGAGGTCCATTAATGGCACTCTGTGGAGACCACAAAGTATGTAAGGGAGAAGGCATTCACCATTTGTACTGTATCAAGAATAAATAATATGATAAATTACACTGAGCAATTTTTTTTCATTTTTAATTATACTCAATTGGTTTTCTTAGTAATAATACACTAGAAAAACAATACCTGCTTTTATTTCTTATTCAGAGTTGGGCTTTTCTTTTTCATGTCCTAAGTGTTTTCTCTTGAAGGAAGCAGAAATTATTGATTTTTCTTTTTCCTCTTTGCACTTTCTTTTTTCATTATGTCTTTTTCCCCTCTTTTCTGACTAAGTCAGAGCTTGCTGTGAAGTCCAATGGTGGTTTGAGAGGCCTGTTGACTCAGCTAAAGCCCTGATGGTTTGTATGATGCAGGAGGTTACCTTTCTCTTGTCCTTAGTGCATATGAATTCTATTTTAATGTAGATATTGTACAACTTTAAAACTTCAGTTATGAGTTTGGCAATACAATCAGGAAATACACTTTATAATTACATCTCCCCTTGCCCCTTAAAATAAAATTCTTATTTATACCATCTAAATTCTAGGCATGCCCTTTTCTAAATTCTCATGATCACAAGGGCCAGTCTGTAGTGAAATGTCTATATCTGGAGTTGTCAGAAACTGGATGAAAGAAGTGGGCACCAAAACTCATAGTACCACATTTGTGAGAATTTGGATTTTACTCTGGGTGTAATTAAGAAGTGTGACTTGCTAAAGTAGTACATGGGTTTAACTCCTAACTCTGCTGTATTTGTCCTTCTGTTTCAGGTTTCATTTCCAGGGGCCCTGTGGCACAACTCTTCCTGAAGCCCTGGCTCCTCATGAAACTGAATCGGTTTCTTAATTGTCCTGGGGAGGGAAGAAATTATAGTACATCTCAATACCAGGCCTCAAATAGAGGAGACACAGTCCTGTGGATGGCAAGCTGAATACTGGAGATCTAAAAATACCCTGTGATTTCCTGTCTGGCATCCAACCTGTTGATAACTGATAGGGCCTTAGAGGTAACAATAGCAAATGTAGTTACAAGAAGTCAGAGAACTGTAAAGTCGATGCATGTTATTTGGCTTAAACTTAAGCATAAGATGCCTCTGATGTGTTTGGTTGGTTATTGGGAGGTGAAAAATTCTAATTTGAGTGTCTTAAAAATGTAATTATCCCATGTTTGCTATTTGGCAAACATGGAAGTAGACAGGTAAAAACCTTGATATTTCTGATTTTTGCACAAGTTTGGACAGAAAATAAAATCACTCTCTACAGTAAGTAATTTATTGTATAAAGATTTGGCCCCATGAGTTATCTTTGTTGGGGACATTTTCTTTTCAGTATTTAACTTGTTTGGTTGCTTTACCTCAGAGTATGTGGAATAGCTTAGAACAAGAACTCAAGCAAAGAAGGAAAAGTAGTAACAAGGCAGAAAATCAGGATGAGACCAAGAAAAAAAAATGATGCAAATATATAGATTCTAAAGGTAAACACAATTGCTTAAAGTTTAGTACTAGCCTTCTTAGCAGACAAGGAGAAAAGAGAGAGCTGATGGTTGCCTTTCTTAATATCATAAACTCAGAAGCACACAGCCCCTTCGGGGTCTGCCAGCCTTTCCCAGACACTGAATTCTGAAGAGAGTGTTTCCCATGGGACTTTACCTTGGAGTGAAGTAGCAAGAAAACAGTTCTCACCTCCAGCCCCATCACCTAATGTGTCACCCAGGGCTCTTGGAATGCCTGATTGCTGTCCAGCAAGCACCAGAGGCCTGACTGGGAGGAGCGGCCTTTAGGAACCTGTGTAGAAAGGTCATACATGGCAAGATTCCTTGGATCAGGTGACTCCCTGAGTGATTACACACCTGGCCACACCACCCAGCCCCTTACAAAATTGCATTTAACGTTACATCCTTGGCATTTGTGGACATAAATGACAAGACACTATCACATAAAATTCTGTACTGCATTTGCAAGTCATACCTTTTAGTAAATCCCAAGGGTCCTTCGTATGGACAAGAGGGATGTTCATAACCTACAAAGAGGCTGAAGGGCCAAACTGTAGGCTTCAATTCACCCTTCCCATGGCTGGATCAAGGCATATACACTGATGGGATGTGTGTGTAATACTTACGGAGTTTATGTGCGTAAAATACCATCATCGTTCTCTTTTAATAGGTTTGTTGGTGGACTTCTTGAAATTACTTTATACATTTTCCTAGTGTTAGCAATGATGAAAGTCAGCACACTGTCTCAGAAAGTCTGATTATATTTTTAATTTCTATCTGACCAAGTCCCAGATATTTCAGAACTGTTCTTTGCAGCTCCTCTCAAATTGGGGCCTTTGGTACCAGCAGCTTTCTGTGTACGTGTGTGTGTGTGTTTTATCATTTTTGTTCACATTGTGGTTTTATTAGAGAAGATGAAAGGAGAATTGAAAATACAAAATATGAGGTAGAAATTATGTACTGTATTCAATGCAATATTACTGAATATTTACCACATGATAGGCATTAGAAATAAAATTAGTAAGGCATGGACCTTACCCTCAAGGAGTTAACAGAATGGTTGGGCCAACTTTCTTTTTAAAAAGATTTTATTTGTTTATTTTTAGAGAGGGGAGGGGGAGGGAGAGAGGAAGAGAAACATCAATGTGTGGTTGCCTCTCGAGTGTCCCCTTTTGGGGACCTGGCCTGCAACCCAGGCATGTGCCCTGACTGGGAATCCAACCCCCGGACCCTTTGGTTTGCAGTCCGCACTCAATCCACTGAGCCACACCACCAGCCAGGGCAGGTTGGAACAACTTTCATGTAAACTATTATACAGTGTAGAAACTGCAGTAATGGAATTTGTGCAAGATTCACAGGAAAATGTAGTTAGAGATGGGCAGAGTGGGAGTGGGATAAATGTTGAGGTATTTGAAAGGTTTTTTTTTAAGATTTTATTTATTTATTTTCAGAGAGGGAAGGGAGGGAGAAAGAGAGAGAGAGAGAAACATCAATGTGTGGTTGCTGGGCTGCAACCCAGGCATGTACCCTGACAGGGAATCGAAGCTGCGAAACTTTGGTTCGCAGCCTGTGCTCAATCCACTGAGCTACGCCAGCCAGGTGAGAAAGGTTTTTGTAGTATTGTATAAACAGGAGTTCCACGTGTGTATCAGTAGAGGGAACAGCATGTACAAATGATTGGCAAATGTGAAAAAGCTTAGTTTGTTGGGAGAATGATGGATGAATCATTTCGTATTGAATAAAGGGTGGGAGAAGATAAACACAGGTCGTGATGGGCCATGTATGCCGAAACATGAAATACATCTTCCCCTTGGTGGGGAAGATAATACTAGGGTTGCATTCACTAAGTATGGTAAAGTCATTCTTTCACCCTTCAGGATTTGCGATGGGCTAGCCAGCGATCCAGGTCCTGGGGTTACACCAGGGAATCAGACGGGGTCCTTACTTCTCTCTTACAGACCTTACATTTAAAAGGGGCGGAATCATACAATAAATTCTTCGGGAAGGTGTCAGTGATGAACACAGAACAGAGGCACGGCCAGACAGTGGTAGAGGGGCTGGTGGTCAGGGAAGCCCGAGAAACACCGGCAGAAGTCGCCAAGCTCACATTTGGTGTAGAGAATTGATTTAAGCTTGTCATTTGTCCTGCCGCTATAGTGCATGTCTTCTCTTTGAAACTCCACTTCTTCAGGGAGTGCGGAATGAAAGGAATCTGCTCTACAAATACTGATTAACTGAATCGACCAAGCGAATCCTGGTGCAAAAAGGTGGCGACAGAACTACTGGGGCTTGCAGTCATCAGTTTCTGGGAAGCGGATGTCGTGACGCGCGCCAGCCCGCCTCGAGGAGCGCGGGGACCTAGCCGACCCAGCTCTCAGCATCCCGGCCAAGAAGGCAGCAGGATTTTTTTTCTGCCGGGAAACAGGCGCCAAGGGCACACGCTCCCACAGTTAGTTGCTCTCTACAGCAGCCAGGGGAGAATCACAGCCTTGAAACGCGCATCCTCCGTGTCGGTGGGAGGAACGCCCAAACCTGACACAACTTAGGCCACGCCTTCGTCGCCTCGGAATGGGACGGTTTTCCGCTTCCTGTCTCTAAGTGGGGGGAGGGGGGTAGCCTTCGAGCTCGCCAGGAACGATTTAACTGGTGTCGCTTGCTCTTACGTCACACTCGGCTTGCGGGCTGTTGCTTCCGGGTCAGAGGTCAGACGGTCCGGAGCGACGTGAGCCATGGTGCAGCTCCGGCCACGCGCGTCCCGCACTCCGGCATCAGCGTCGGCGATGGTGGACGAGGGTCAGCCAGCCTCGGAGCAGGAGGCGGAGCACGGCCTGTTGCTCGGGCAACCCAGCAGTGGCGCGGCTGCCGAGCCACTGGAGGAAGACGAAGAATGGGACGACGAGTTTGACGACGAGGCCCCGGAGGAATTGACTTTCGCCAGCGCCCAGGCGGAAGCGAGGGAAGAGGAGCGGCGAGTTCGGGAGACGGTGCGCAGGTTGGAAACCTACGGCTGGGCCGAAGAACCGTCCATTCCGGTCGCACTTGTGTCTTTAGCTCTGACGTGTCACCCTTTCTCCCAGGGATAAAACACTTCTGAAGGAGAAGAGGAAACGACGCGAGGAGCTGTTTATCGAACAAAAGGTTAGAGAGTGTAGGAGGCGTCTCCTTTTTAAAACAACCGGCTTGGGGTACAATTCCCTTGTTTATTGCAAAGCTGGTAGGATATGGGGGTGGGGAAAACGTCGCTAATATTTCTTCTGACATCGGTGAAAACAAAGATGCTCTACTCTTTGCTGTCCGCCGACAGAAAATGAGAGTGGGAAGAGCTGTCAATTTGAAATCACGCGATTAAACCCCACCTCCTTCGTTCAGCTCGCTGTGACACCTGTCATTTCGCCTCGCGGAGGTAGTTTTACCTGTAACTGGGTTGCTATTAGAATTAAATGAGGTGCTGTGTAAACTAAGGGCTGCACAAACATCAATATGATTGCTGTGCTGTCGGGTGTTTGGCAGATTGGCCACCGACACCCAACACCAGAGGGACATTACTTTCAGTGTTTAGCAGCGATTTGAGAGTTGGGCCCCCTTTCCAATCTTCACTAGGTCTTCCAAAGAATGTGGAATAGGTTCTGTTACTTATTTTTAGACAGGGAAGGGAGGGAGAAAGAGAAACATCTATGTGCGGTTGCTGGGGGCTGTGGCCTGCAACCCAGGCATGTGCCCTGACTGTGAATTGAACCTGCGATGCTTTGGTTCGCAGCCCGCGCTCAGTCCACTTAGCTATGCCAGCCAGGGCAGGTTCTGAGGTTTTTTATGATCACAATTTCCCTACAACTTAGAGATAGTGGAGGGAGTGGTCAGCCTAAAAGAGGGTGTTCGTAAAATTGTAACTTCAGAAGCAACCCAGGGTATATTGTCTTGTAGCTCACTTTTTATTTTTAAATGTCTTTAAGAAAAGGAAACTCCTTCCAGACACTATTCTAGAGAAGTTAACTACCGCTTCACAGACAGAGTAAGTAATGGATCTTGTTATATTACTTGCTTACATACCTCCATCTTTGAAATACATATTGGTACATTTGAGTCTATATAATTGAAGAAATAATAAAGCCTAAATTAAAAAGCTACATTGTAGATATGTGAATTTGGTGGGAAAGGTGGAAGCAATTCACTTCCTTTTCAGTATTTCACTGTTTCTTTTTGTTCATTCCCATTGCTAACTCGAGCTTCTGAGTTCCTGATCCCAGACCACTTATTCATCAACTCTGAGGTTTCATTTGTCCTGGAGCAGGGTAGATGGTGAATAAAATGTGTCTTGAAATTTATGACTTAGTGGAGTAGCAGACTCTTTATCTACAGGCTCTTCTTAAAACTCAGCTTGCCCCATACTTGCCATACCTGCCACCGACTTGGCGTTCCTCCTCGATCCCCATTTCACTTAGCAGCTTTGCCACGCACTGAATGTTTAAAGCCAGATGTTGTAGTCATCCTCTTCTTCATCTATCCCATGGAGTCAGTCAAACCTTACTAAATTTACAGTTCTAAATATTTGTTTTTTCTGTCTGTTGTTTCTTACATCTATATCTTTGACCTGGTCCTCAGATTTTCTGTAGAACTTTCCCCGTTATTCAGATCCCAAATACACTCAACATAAACACAAATGTATTTGGTGGCAGATTCCCTTTTTATCCTTTAAAGCCAAACTCAAATGTCACCTTTTCATTCTCTCATTCCACCCACCCTGTTAACTTCCTCCTCTGTAGTTTTTCTGTTGTGCATGGTACAGACATCTCCGAGTTTTGTCAGTTTACATTTGTCTCTCAGACCAGAGGCCTCCACTCTAGTCCTTGTCTTTTGTGCTTAAAACTGTTGAGTTACCCTTTGTGATTTCTTCAAATAAAATGAGACAGGCCTACCACCTTTTATTTTATATTTTAGCTGAGGTGTTTATAACATTCTTTAAGTCTTTCGCTCTAATTCCATTAACCACAGCAATCTGCTTTTTTTTGGAAGCCTGTTGATAGATATACTTTCAGATTTTAAATTCTGAGAAGATACTTTCATCCAATATTTATTAGTTTGTTGATTGGGAGTTGGTGGCTGGGAATTTGCGGAGTGACTTTCCAAAACTGAGGATAGTGGGAACAAATTGGGGTAGGGTGATAGTGGAAGGACCTACTTCTAAGACCAAATTTACTTGTGTAACAGGTAATCTTTGCTATCTGCCATTCCAGTCACTGCTGTTTTTCTCCCTTAGCATAAAGAAATCACCAGGAAAGTTAAACAAAGGTACGAACTATTCTAATTTAAATAACTTTTCATGAAAGTGTCAAGTTGCTTTGCAGTCAAATGTTATTGGCCCCTAGAAAGAGCTCTGGAATAGCACTGGCCAAGTTTAGCTTGAGCCTCTTCTCTCTTTTTTTTCTTAATTCAAATACAGTGGTCTCTATTTTCCCACCACCACTTTCCCTTGCCCTACCCACGCCCACCTCCCACCCTCAATCTCACCACCCCCCCCATGGCTCTGTATAAGGGTCCCTTTCCCCCTATTTCTTTTTTTTTTTTTTAAGATTTTATTTACTTTTTAGAGAGGGAAGGGAGGGAGAAAGAGAGAGAAACAACAATGTGTGGTTGCTGGGGGTCATGGCCTGCAACCCAGGCATGTACCCTGACTGGGAATCGAACCTGTGGACACTTTGGTTCATAGCCCGCACTCAATCGACTGAGCTACACCAGCCAGGCCCCCTATTTCTTAGAAATAAAAATTGTATCCAAATTGGCGGGAGAGGGTATTTAACATGAACTCCTGAAAGTATTCTTGATTTATTTTTATGTAAGTGCTAACTAGAAATAAAACTCAATTTTTTAGTTAATTTGCAGAAGAAAGATGAAGAATGTGAAAAAGGAAGTGATTCTAAGAAAGCTAAAGTACAAAAAGTACAGTCTATTGGGTAAGAAGAGCCTTATTTTCATGTAGCATATAGTTATTAACCTTTGAGAATTAAAGTACTGATTTACGTGTAAAAATATTTTAATTAGTAGCAGTTTCAGATTGGATCTTCTGTGGGAAAACCAGTTGTGATATTTATATAAAAACAAACTATTTGCTCTACTAAAATGTGAATATTAGCCAATTTCTTATAAAATAGCACTATAATTTAGTTTTATTAGTTTTATTAATTATCGTATTGGTGCATATACAAAATAAGGATTTTTTTCACTTTTTGAGGCAACAGGAAATTATTTAAAATAAAGCACGTTATCAACATCATTGATTCTGACCTTTTGTATCGATCATCAGCCAGAATAAAAGCTACTTGGCTCTAAGGCTAAAAGATCAAGATCTGAGGGATTCAAGGCAACAAGCAGCCAAAGCCTTCATACAAAATTCTTTATATGGTCCAGGAACCAACAGAACTACTGGTAATTTCCTTATTGACTGTTTTCCTCACTTTTTTACTGCAAATAAACAAAGAAATGATAAATAATTATCTTTCCTAGTAAATAAGTTCCTGTCTCTTGACAATAAGAGGTTACCAGTGAAGAAAGCCGCAGCCCAGTTTTTGAGTAATGGTTGGGGTAAGGTCAGCTTTATTCTCTTGGCTCTGATCATTTTCTATGTTGAATAATGCTCTTTTTAAAGGAGATAGTAAATAATTATGAATTATGTTTTTTCTTATAATAGCTTCTATATTAATAGTTTAAAGTTGCTTCTGAAAATTAGGTCAGTGTATTATATATGTACAGCTAACAAAATCTAATTTAATAGACCTAATTTTAGTATTTATATTCATATAGAAAATTTTGAAAATTTTTAAATTTTTTCTTGGGAATTTTTATTCTTACTGCACAAACTTTCTATTGTAGGAACCCAGAAAAAACAAAATGCGAAGAGGTTTAAAAGACGTTGGATGGTCAGAAAGATGAAAACTTCTAAGAAGTAAATCAAAACTAAATGAAGAATGAGAACTTTGTATGTATGGAACTTCCAGTTACTTAGTGCAGAAGATTAATTTGGTTTAAAAATCTAATAAATCATTTTAAAGGCTCATTACAAAAGTCATAAATCTATTTGGGGAAGTATCCCATCACATTTCATCCTTTTGGAATACATTGTGCCTTTGATCCTTGAGGGTCCTGGAAGAAATAGCAGTTTAAAAGGAATTGCTTTCATTTCTTTTTGTAAGTATTTATCCATTTACTTGAATACAAACATAACCAGTAATGGCACCTCTCCCCCCCTGCCCCCCATGCTTGTGTGGCAGGCATGGCAGGGAGGAGGAACTCTCAGATGCCTTAGTCTCTCAGGTGTTTTGGTGATACCGATGAGAATTTGCCTCACAAAACAGCTAAATGTATATAAATACCCACTTTTCTTAAAGAAGGTTCAAGCCTCACTGTGCAAAAATAGTATATAAAATAACCAAAGAATATGGTCATCCACTTGAACAGCTTGTTTAAATTTTACTTTTAACTAGTTTGGGGGTTTGCTTTACGGGCAAGTAACATGCCTTAATATGGTTATGAAGCTAAGGAGATTAATTTTCCTTTTTCTTTCTGTATGACCCACAATATCAGGCTTGATACAAGGAGGCTAGTAAACTGAACGCAGTTTGAGCTTGTAGAACTTAGATTTATAATAAAAATCATTGATTTTAATTGCTCTAGTTTTATATTAATCATAAGTATGTAAGTACCTAATATATAAACTCAGCTTGACACTCTAATATCTGTAGAAGTAAATTTTTAATGGCTGGTTAATTATATCACTACATTTTTATTGCAATATAGTACTCATTTAAGCACTTAAAAATGGAAGGTATACAAAGATTAAATTAAGACACGGTAAATTGACTAAATATTTGGTTTTTATATAAATAAAGGTCATAACCACACCGTTGACATATAATACTGTTATAATACAAGTTAAACTTGTGAGTCTACAACAGAAGTCGTTGGTAGTTAAACAGGAAACAAAGTTGAAAAGACCATGTTAAAACAAAACTACTGGGACTAACAGGTCGGGATTGTAAGTAGCAACAAACGTATTCACTCAGCTCCTGAGTATTTCAAGTTTTACAGTACACATTAAAAATGATTTCTTCCATCAACACTATAAATTCAAACTGTCGGATGTTTATGCATTTTGCAAGTTACACTGATTGAATGCTTAAATGGGAGTGGGGGTTGGAACATCTCCCAATTTGAAGTTTACATCACCCACATGCTAACACAACACAACTTGTTCCATTTCCTTCCCCCCTCTCCCCCCAACAAAGAAGGCAGGATTTTTTTGGTTTCTTTTAGGTAATTGTTTTAAAGGATTTGTGATGATAAATTCCAACATCTGAGAATCGGTAATATTTAACTCTTAGACAACTAAGAGGTTAAAGATGGAAAATAATTTCTCCTAACGCTAAGTTAGAAAATCATTTGCATCATGCTGTAAACTAGGAAGCAATGTAAAGCGACAAAAACCTGTCCCCAGTACATAATTAAAAAAATCTAAATTTCAAAATCAGCAGAGCTGGTCTACTTCCATGTTGACTATATGCCACAATATAAGTGTGAGCTCCTTAAATGCATAGCTAATGTAGGTAGTCTTCCACTGTGGCAAATGCACAGGATCCAATTCCTGATCGAGCCATCAGTCCTAGACATTGTGTGGCCTGTCCCATTGCTAGAGCAAGTGGAGGTTGCTTTGGCAGATTGTGGGTTTCTGAGGAAAAAATGATTAAAAATGGAAATAACAATTAGCAAGACGTTTTTTTAATCTCTTCAGGAAAATATTGCATTACTTACACAATTATCAATGCATATATTGCCCTTAACTAACTAGCAAAGGTACTTTCTAAGCAAATGATTAATGCCTTGCAGGTACTACTCTGACAAGGTAATGTGGGTAACTAGGTGTTCAACTATAAGAAAAATCGTGCAGAATTAGACTTTTAAAGTGTTAGATATTCTCAACTTTTTATTTCCATATTACCTATGATGGGAACGATACAGTTTCTTGGCTGATATTTCATTGGGAGCATAAGAAATATTTAATACTGTTTTTGACTAAGGTCAGTTGACAACAGAAAAAGGCCAGATTCTTCTTCTAGGGATACAACCAAACTGAGGCTGCCTAACTGTCTCCAAAGCATATTGGTGAATGTTATTTGGGTTGGTAGGGAGCAAGGGGTGATGGTCACTATGAGAGACAATAGAGCAAAATTACTCTTAATTTTGGAGGGGTAACTTACAATCAATACGTCAGACATTTTAAAAATTGACAATAAAGTATTCAGGGTACTACATACCACAAATCTGTCAGACAGTTGTAGTACAAATATAATTAATAAAATTTGTTCTTTGCCAGAAATGAAAAAAATGAACTAATGGTAGAAGTGTCCAAATATATAAGTTGGTAATTTTTCCTTGTGAGCAGATGTTTAAATTTCAAGTTTATGTAGATTCCCAATTAATGGAATTACTAATCAGTCCTTCATAGACATAGCTATCAATAAAGGTCAAAAACTGATAAATGGTAAGGCGCCGTATGATTTAATTCTACCCTTGGTTTTGGGGTTGCAATCTCAGAGAAAGAAAACTTCTAGAAGGAATGAAGCAAAAATAATAAGGAAGCAAGTTCAGGAGTTCAACTACAAGAATAAAAGGATCAAGAATGTAAGAATCTGGGGGGAGGAGGTGAGGGGATGGAGAGATGGAGCAAAAAGGACTCAATGGACACGGACAACAGAGTGGTTGGTTGGTGACTGTTGTGGGGGGAGTAGAAGGGAGATAAATGGTAATGGAAAAAATACAATAAAAAATGCAAGAATGAAAATATGCAAAAAAGATTGTTGAGAAAGTGGTTTGAAAAGTGCTCTGGGTTAAGATTATTAAAGTACTGGCCATTCAGTGGCAAGATACTATTTGGCTAAATTTTGATAGTGATAAACTTATTTTTGCCAACTTGAAGCAGGATTGACTGTAGTTTAAAACAATTCTGCCTTAATTTGAATCAAGAATTTAATTTTTATACAAAAATCAAACATAATAGGGAATTAACACTGAAAAGGAAACACCCTTTCAAAAATGTCTCCTGAAGATTTACAGAGAAGTAACTTTGCTGAAATGTAAGCATCTAGATGTACTTTATTACATATACTGGCCAAGGAAGGCAGGTGGTTGTAAGCATTAAAAAAAAATTTTGGATATGGAACTTGCAAGAATTACATACAACTAATGTAACTTTAAGCACTACTTAATAGATTATAAAATTTAGTATTTATAAATATGCAGACACCCCACAGCAATTTAATAATCTTACTAATTTTTGTGGGAATTACACACAATAAATTTAAGCACTATTCATGGGTGAACCTACATAATATGTAGTACAATATGTAAAAATATATACTATCTTGGACAATGGCCCCAAGCAATTTAGTATTTAAAAATTTAATCTCCTTGAAGAACCCAAGATACAAAAAGCTGTCATTAAGAAAACTGGTCACTTGACAATTTTTTTTCCAAGTGTAAGTGTTACATAAATACAAAGCAATTACTACTTCATGATTTCTTACAATGTAGTAATTTAAAAATAGAAGTATTGTAAACCATAATTTGCCCTACAATCCCAGGATTGCTACTTGCTTCTCTTACCAATAGAGCTAAATGAATTTCATAACCAAAGAAATTATAACACAATTTAACACCACAAAATTCACATTATATATAAATTCTAATTTTAAGAAAACTACAACACAAAGACACTACTCCTATTTCAAAACTTCATTATGAAAACTTAACAAATGATGAATTGAAAATTAATTGTATAAAGGCAAACAGATTAAGGCTCAAATATGAATACTTTTAATTGCTTGTTTTACATTTTGGCCATATGAGGGAGGGCCCGGGGCCCTCATTCCAAGTTTCTGTGTCTAAACACCCTCTATTCGAACTGTTCTAGTCTACCTAAAATATTAATAGCTTGAAACATGTTGCTGAAAGCCCCCAAACTTTAAAGGGCCGAATCACACAGAATAGACTTTTAAACTGGAGTCCCATTTTATCTGGGGAATTAGATTCTAAAGTCAGGTGAAAAATCACTCTTAGCTAATTACCTTTGAAAAGAATTGTCTAGAAATTAAAAGTTTTAAGTAATCAACCCTATAGAGTTTCAGTATAAATGCACAAAATATATAGTTACAGAAGTCATATAAATAGTGTATTTGTTCAATACATAAACACTAGAGTCATCCTCTGTAGTGAGCTACTCATAGGAATGGCAACCACGGGAACAGCAAATTCCAATTTCTCACTTCATGCTCATGCTTGGCTAAACTTATTTAAATTGTTCTCTTCCTCACACACCCTTTTTATTTGGTAAGGGCAGGGAGTTGAATATAAACACAAATATATTTGACTTCAAGGGTTAATATTATTGATGGGGCATTTCCAAATCACCTGGAAACCCCTTGTGCCTGCACAGTGGGAGCTGGAAAATGGGCGGCTCAGGCCAGAAATGTTTACGTACATGCACACAAAATCATATTTCCAAACTTCTCCCAGATGCATCCCAATGTACTGGTTTTATTCTATTTGAATCCATTTAATCTGGGATTGAAACAATGGTTTCTATGTTTTAAGGTAACTTTAATTTTAAAATGTAGAAAAACTTTCCCTAAGGATTTTATCAAAATATAAATGCCAGCACAAATACCACCTCAAATATTCTGAAAATCTAGATGGTGGTGTGTTTTTTTTTGGCTTCACTTACCTAATATTGCACTGTTAAGAGCTGAGCACACAGGTTCTCTCTGAATTGGGTCAAGTTGATTTCCAACAGGGCTGTTCCAAGGATCTGAATATGCTAGTAAACTGAATGCATCCTGTTGAAAATAGCAATTTGATTTTTAATTCAAATAATTGAACTATGATCATCCATGGTTGGTTACAAACTGAGAGACAGGTAAAAGGCACTAAACTACTGTGGCATTTAAACCCATTTACCTATGGATATTTTAAACAACTAGATTATGAAGCAAAGTCTAATGTGTTTTCATGCTTTCTGTGAACACACAGTCTCATCTCCCCCCATCCCTACTGTATATATGGAACAGGAAAAAATATTAAAAATTGAAAAAATGAATTCCTGTGAAATGGGCTAATACTGATTATGGTAAAAAGGAAGACTAAAACATTTAGATACAGTGCAATTTATTATCACTTATGTGAATTTGACATTAAAGTGATAAGGCATGCCAATATATTTTTTCAAGTAGATGTGGGAACTGGATGTCATCTCAAACGCAGTAACCAAAAAAATTAAACCGACCCCCACTCAGGAACTCAGTAGTTCCAACCATCCTCAAGCCCCCCATCCTAAAGTAGCTGACACACATACAGGAGTCTTTTCCCAGAAAAGAAAGAAGACAGAAAGAAATTCTGTCTTCTTTGTGGGGAGGCAAATACACAATGGTTTCAGACATTGCCATCAACCACCAGTGTGCATCAGTAGTGTGGCCTTTAGCAAGTAACAACCTCTTTAAGAGTCAAGTTTCATCAGTTGTGTAATGGAGGCTATCAGAGGTCATATTTCACAGTCACGTGAGGACTGAGCTAAATGAAATTAGCAATGTCGGTTCATTCTAATCTTTCAATAAATGATGTCTTATTCTGCCAAAAGTCAATAATCTGGAGCACCGTATTTTTTGAACTATAAGATGCACCCCCCCCCCCCCGCCCCATTTGGGAGGAATAATGGTGGTTAATGTTGCTGTTGAGTCCTGTTTACATTTATTTACATTGGTGAAATATGTTATTTATGTTATTAAATATTTTACCACATTTTTTGCTTCAAAATTCTTTTTCCTATTTCTAAAACCTAGGTGTGTCTTATGGTCCAAAAAAGGTAATAATATAGGTACAGATTTAGTTAGATACAGGATATCTACCCAATTCAGAAGGCATACACAAAAAGGTGCTGAGGAAATTGTAAACCAGTGAATTCAGTAACAACTTTCAAAGTGCTAATTACGAAGTGTGGAAGACTGATTCCTAAAATACAATCTCCTAGGTACAGTTCAAGTATTCCTCTAATGATCATCTTAGTGTTCTGAGAGCAGAGGTGGGGAAAGGGTTCCTGGTCAACTGTATTCTTGCCCTTTCTCTTCCAAACTGGTTTCCACACTGTGGAAATAAAAACTGTCCATGAAGCAAAGCTATGCAGTCCATCCGAGGCTACCAGACAGGGAGTACATATGTCTAAACGTGTGTGTTACTCCACTGTCATCTACTGTAAGTACTTCACATCAGACTTTTTGCTCCAATTATTATAATGAAAGTTCTTTGAAGATTTAAAAAATATTACACCATTTTGAGTCTTCTGTAGCTACTGATACATGCTGGGTACAGGGAAGAAGCTTCTACACCTGCTGATCACAAGACCTACTTCTTATAGTTTTTAAGATATTTTATGCATCCCACAAACCTAGATTGTACTTCCTGAATGTCCCCATCCAAACTTATCGATGGAAAGAATATTAATATCCTATAAAGCTAACTCTAATCAATCATATTATTTCTAAAGACTGAGCTTTGCTCAAGACTTAATTTACCTCACAACCATCTAATGAAGTACCATCCCTACAGCACAGATAAACTTTGAAAGATAGAACTGTCCAAGGAATAATGGGTACATAAAAACTTTAAGCACAAAACTATCCTCTTGGGTCATTATATTGGGACATGCTACAAAAAGATGAAATATCTCAAATCTCAAATCAATCATCATTCTGTTTATGTGCTCTGATATTTAAAGCAAAAACACATAATCATGACGGTAGTAATTTACTGTGCACTAGCACTATGTGAGGCAATGTTTCAAGCATTCGTGTGGATCATCTCACTTAATCTTCACAATAACTTTACGAAGTGGATACTGTATGTCCATCATTCAGCAATGCAAACTGAGGCAGTAACAGGTTATGATCACACTGCTAGTACTGTATTTCTTTTAGATGCAGTTCCTTTTAATTTTCAATTTAAGTATCAAGAGGGAAAAAGTCTAAAATTCTGCTCTATTATTTTCAGTACAATTGAACAAATATTTATTGGACATAGCAGCTAGGCAACTGAGGACACACCAATCACCAAAATCTGTTTCAAGGATTCACAGAGTTTTGTGGGGGAAGACAGACACATAAATAAGTAACATCATGTAGTGCTTATTAATCCAAAGTGTATTGAGTCACATGATGCAATCACAGAAATAGGCTCAAGCTACAGGGACACTGAGGCTGAGTGAAAGGAGAAAAAGGCATGGTTAGAACCATGGATAACGGGTTAGATCCAAAAATGCCTCCTTAAACCACACTAATAAGCCCGAATTTCTTTTTTGTCAATAAGGCAGTGGAATTGTATAGGTGTGGCACAGATTAGACTCGATTATACAGGGATCATACAGCAACACTATGAAACAAGTTTGGAAGCGGAGTGAAGCTGTATCAAGGAAACTAACAAAACTTTAAAAAATAAAAAGGCTTATTTTTTTATTATAAGCATCAGGTTCCCAGTAGTAAGTAGCTAGAACCTTATCTTTCTTTACAAAGGGAATAAATCAACAAAGCAACATCAATGTTTTAAATCCTGCTGTAAAACTTAACTGGTGACAGTAATCAAATACATACAATTACAGCAGCAGCACCGCTGGCACATTATCACTGCTGCTAAGTTGGTAGGTTTCTCGAAAGTGACACTATAGCAGTATGTGGCAAGAGCCACAATAAATATATCCTTTGACTCAATAATTAGGACTTTATCCCAGTGGAATGGAATAATTTAAAGGAAGAAACATAAAGATATATGTATAAAGGTATTTACTAAAGCATTTAAATAAAAAAATCTAGCCAGAACAATGCTTAAATAAAATCACATAGCAACATAATAAAATAATCATGTAGCCATTTAAAAATAGTTGCAAATAATGTACAGAAATTAGAGATAAATTTTGTGACAATAAATTAAAACATACAAAATAGGATAACTAAAATTACTAGGTAAAATATATGCACACAGGATTCAAAGAACAAAAGTAAAAATATCAAATATAATGGCATTACGGGTTACTTATTTTTTAAAAAGTACCTTGGTGGGAATAATTTCGGAGAGAAATGTGACATTTAGGTAGGGCTCTCAAACTATACTTACATTTGGCTTAAAATTGTTAACAGTTTAGAAACGGTGAGTCTAAATGGCTCTACTGCTACTTCAACTACTGGATGAAAAGCTCCCTTCTGGTTGGGGTTGCTCATGCGCATTCAACTCTCCGCAAGGCCTTCAGCAGTGTCTTGCCACAGTGCAGAAGTTCAATAGGTAGCTGCTAAACAAAGTCAGGTAGTTCTCTAGGGAGCCTCTGGCAGGCTTAGGCAGTTAAGGAACAAAAAGATAACAGGGAAAGAGGAAAGGAAGCCTGACAAAATTATAAAAAACGTCAAGAGAAACTGGGCTACTGCAGGGACTCCCTACCATTTTACCACGGGCAGGCTACTTGCATGGGCTGCAACATGCAACTGAGAGGAAGCAGAAGACACATGTACTTACAGTAAAGCATTTAGGTAAATCTCTCCCTCGACTTTAGCCAAATCATTTTTTCTGTATGTATGTATATGATTCAAAAGTTTATACAAAACCAGGGAAAAAAAAAAGATAAAAATAACCCAACAAAATCACATGTGATCTGAAGTGAAGAATAAAAGGAAAAGGAGTAATTTCTAAATCTTAACTACAGCAAAAAAAAACCCCTTTACTCTTTTCTTCATGTTGCCCTCCAACCCTCCAGCCTTGTTCTTTAGGTACTTGTAAGTTACATCAGTCACTCATGCCTATCTAGAGCAAAAAGAGTCTGGGGAACAGGAGGGAGGCAGCTCAGAATATTAAGGAAGTGTCTTAAAGCAGTTCATATTTGCTTAGAAGTCAGAATGGAAATGCATTCCTGAGAGAAGCCATGTACATTCTTTAGATGAAGATGAATTACGCTTTCTCATAATTCAATATATAATCAAGAAATATCTGAGAATGGACCATGAAATGCTATTTTCTGAACCTTATGCAAATTGGAATCAAAGACAGCTGATTTGAATGAAATCTTAAATTTTTGAAGGCACTGCAGAAATCACACATCCCTTCATACTCAATTAGCATAAAGTTTTAACAAGGCAAGTCAGATGACCTGCTGTAAAAATGTTTATAAATTCTTAAAAAATTTTTTTTTAAAGATTTCATTTTTTAGACAAAGGAGATGGGAGGGAGAAAAAGAGGAAGAGAAACATCGATGTGCAAGGGAAACACTGATTGGTTGCCTCTCAACCCCAGCTGGGGACCTGGCCCACAACCCAGGCATATGCCCTGACTGGGAATCAAACCTTCCACCTTTTAGTTTGCAGGCTGATATTTAATTCACTGAGCCACACCAGCCAGGGCAAAATGTCTATGAATTCTTAAAAACACCTCATATTCCGAAACATCCCCTCAAACAATAGTTCTCAAAGTAGCCCTAGCAGATGTGGCTCAGTGGATTGAGCATGGGCCTGCAAACCAAAGGACCACGGGTTTGATTCCCAGACAGGGCACATGCCTGGGTTGCAGGCCCGGTCCCCAGTAGGGGGCACTCAAGAGGCAACCACACATTGGTGTTTCCCTCTCTCTCTTCCCTCCCCTCTCTCTAGAAAGAAATAAAATCTTAAAAACAAAAACAAACAAACAAAAAAACCAGCCCACACTTCTCAAAGTATAGTGGAGACAACTGGGTCCAAGACCCTTGCAGAGGGTTTTGTAATGTCACAATTATGTTCATAATAATACTAAGATATTACTTCCACTTTTCTCATTCTCTGACAACAATACAGTCAGCTTTTTGAGAGGCTACATGATGTGTGATACCACAAAAGACTGAATGCAGAGGCAGGTATGAGAATCTAGCTTATCTTGATTAAATCTTGCATTGAAGAGATTTGTGAAAATGTAACACAAGGCCACTCTTCTCATTCCCCCCCACTTTTGGGAAGATAGTTAAATGTTTTATTTATTTCATGAATTTATTGTTGTTTTTTTTAAATAAATTAATTTTAGTTTTAATTTCTAATGTAACAAAATTAATAAACTCTTTGGGAATCTTTAATGGTTTCCTAAGGTTTCTAGACACCAAAAAGGTTGAGAACCTCAGTATCTAGCAAAAAGAACTCAATCAGTTTCCCAAATGGTAACTTTAGATAACTAAAATAACTTGTAAGAAAAGCCAAGAAATAAGTTTCTTTTTGGCACTCTTGATATATCAGAAAAAGTCCTACAAAGTTGAACGGTGATGAATACCCAATCTGAAAAAATCAGTTATACTTTTCAAATGAATTCAACCTCAATTTCATAAACATTCATTGAATACCTAGGTGCTATATGCATAAAATATATTTAAGAGGAGATGAGTTAAGGAAAGATGTAGCCTGATTTCAAAAAACTCAATTTTATAGAGTAAGTGTCGACAGCCATTTTGCTAGTAGTATATGAATATCTGATTTGATGTTCTAACAAAAAATAGTTTAAATTACATAATCCACCAATTTTCATTTATTTAGCATAAAGTCATAATTTAATTTTTTTTTGAGAGCTGACAGTCACTGTTAGAATAGCAGCTGTGCTACCCAGTAGATTAAGTACTAAATATGGTGAAGAAACCTCTCTTCCCACCTCAGATACTGAAAATACAAGACTGCATGCCTTTAACTGGATGTGTATACGGTGGATCCTTAACCCATCCTAGGCCAAGCAGATATGTTCTGCATACACAGATGCTGTACTGAAGCTACAGTACAGGCAGCTGTTTCATTTCACTGATTTATGCCATGTTCAGTGCCACTGGTGCATCAACTTTCAGTTTGTGTCTGGAAGGAACGGCAGGCACCTTGCCCTTTCCTATTACACCCAATAGGAAAGGACAAGCATACATTACACCCAAGCATCCGTCTCAAGGCCACTACTTGCATCTCTCCTTTGTTCTTTGAACTTCTTTCAACACATTCAGGAGAAAATGTTTATAACATTACCTTTGAGCCCAACCTAATGCACTATTTAAAAAATACAATGGCTAGTGTAATGCTTTATAGGCTTACATGGGTAGTAGGACTTTTAAAAAAGTCCTATGAAAAAAACTTCTGAAGAGTTATAACATTTCCACAACTAATTACAATGCTGACAAGGTAGGAGAAAACTCCAATTTCACCTGATTCACAAAACTGTGGATAATTTACTAAACTATGAATTGTATCCACCTTCCTAGCTATCATAAACATCAATCCAGAAAAGATCTGAAATTGTATTAACTATTCTGGCTTTAAAGATGACCCAAATCCTTCACCAATTATCACCAAAATAAAAACCACGTATTATACATTCAATTTGCAACAACCCTGAAATGTTTACTAAAATAAAAACCATAAAATTTACAGTTTTATCAGCATACTCACATTTTTCCTAATAACTTTGCAGATTTTGCAGCTGAGAAAACTAAGAGTGTGGTAGCCCAACTGGGATTGAGTCCATGGGTTTTACTTGAAGTCCAGTGTTCTTTCCAGGAGAGCAGAGCTGCCCAACCACATCGAAAGCTTTGACTCATTTATAATTTTTTAAGGGGAAACAAATTTACCTTCAACATTTTTTTATTTGCTGTGTTCTTGCCACATTCTCTCCTCAGCTGTTCACTCATCGCTTGTAGCTCCCTTCCAAAGTGAATCATTCGTTCTATGGCGGCTTGACTCCCTCCACACAGCTGGCGTCTTAACTGACTTGAATCCACTTCTGTAACCAAAACAAACAAGTATTTTACTACCTTACTGAATGGAGAGCAACAGAGAAGTGAACATAAATGGCTTGTAATATTTTGTATGTTTAATAACTATTACCTAATATTTTTCTCTAAATATGCAGATATATTTAATTTAATATGGAACTTTGCAGCTAAAAGGTATGCTTTATCTAGGTCTCAAGAGTCTAGGATCCAATATCTAGCATGCAGCTGAAAGTCAGGTGACAACCTTTCACAGTGTTAGGATGTACCTATGTCAGGGAAAATTTTATAAAAAGTTAAGCACAATTATCAAAAACTACATTATGCCACATTAAGAAAAAAAAAGTAACTGCCTCACAGGCTACATTAACTGCCACAAATAGAGATAGAAATTAAATGATTCCTGGAAGCTGAGAGAGGCTAAATAATTCCAATAAAAACACAGAAGACACCATATCATACTAATAAAAAAGGCTTAATTATACTACTTTTAGAAAAACACTACTTTTAGAAAATAATTTTTTTAAAGATTTTATTTATTTATTTTTAGAGAGGGAAGGGAGGGAGAGAGAGAGAGGAGAGAGAGAGGAGAGAGAGAGGAGAGAGAGAGAGGAGAGAGAGAGGAGAGAGAGGAGAAAGAGGAGAGAGAGGAGAGAGAGGAGAGAGAGAGAGAAAGAGAGAGAAACATCAATGTGCGGTTGCTGGGGGTTATGGCCTGAAACCCAGGAATGTACCCTGGCTGGGAATCGAACCTGGGAAACTTTGGTTCCCAGCCCGCGCTCAATCCACTGAGCTACGCCAGCCAGGTAGAAAATAATTTTATAGTATTTATCTTGGTTGACAATAAGCACTGATCAGTAATTAACTGTTTAAATTACTAATAACAACATATAATTAAAATGATGACAGTTAATATTTAATAGGCACCTAAAGTTACTAGCTTTTCAGAGATTGGCTCATTTAATCTTCACAATGACCCATGAGGCAGTTACTGTAATACCCATGTTACAGATGAAGAAACCAAGGCACAGAACTCTTGAGTAACTTGTCTGAGGTTACACAGCTAGTAAGTGGCAGCTGTAGAATTTGAATCCAGGTAATCTGGCTCTATACCTCCTGCTCTTAATCACTATGCTCAAATTACTCTTTAAATGTTGAGATTGCTGATATCTGATAGAATAAAACTATGCTGCCTTTTCAATCATACTCCTACCTTGAAAAATGAATTATACATTAGAACACACAACCCTCAACAAGGTGGTTTTATAAATAAAAAAATAACTTTACATTTATAAAGTAGTTTCTTATATATACTCATAACAATTTGAAACAATACCTTTTAACCTGAAAATACTAAGAAATCTAATGTTGGCTATGGAATTGTGACAAAAAAGAATTTATACATAAGCCTCAATAATTTTCACTTTTCAACTGATGAAAAAGTTTGCTGATGGTTTAACTTCAGTGTAATTTACTACACAAGTTGTCAACAAAGTAAAATTAAGCATGACACTTCATCTGGGGGTGGGGAGGGGGTCATACTTAAGCACCTATTAAGTGCCAGGCAGTGAACTATACAATCACATATATTCACATTAAATGAATTTAAGATACTGTTTGGTTAGACTTTATAAAATCATCTCTATCCATTTGGCCTTTACTAGCTATATTAAAATAAGTATAAAACCTTTTTATATCTCCAACCTTAAATACCCTAAGATAGTCAACACTAATAAGTTGGTTCTACTGCACTAATGACAACACAAAAATTGAGCCAAAACAGTTCAGCAAAGAAAACTCTCTAGCACTTAACTTCAGAGTTCTGTAAAGTAACTAACTCTGTCTAGCAAGCTCCTCTCACAAGAGAGTTTAAGAGAAATAATATGCATTACTGTCAAATCCAATGGCACACACATCTTTAAATCTGATTTATGCTCATCAGCTGTAAATCAGTACAAATAAAAACATAACCTTGTAGTCATCATTTTTTATTAAAAATGTAAGAAATATCACTGCAGACCCATTTCGGTGTCACAATCTTCCATTTCGTGGTCATGTTTAGAGCTACCATTTAGGAAACCATTGGATGAAGTTTCTCCAACTCCATTGGAGTAGTGATCTGTTTCCATGTCCACATCATTACTGAAAACGAAAAAAAACAAACCTAATTATAGAAATTGCATACTTGTGCCTTAGTTTAAAATAAATTATTACTCAACTACATAGCCTACTTAATAAACTGATTTCATAAGGTGATAATAACCTGCAAAAAAAATATTTAGTTAAATCTTGAATGTATTCAAAGCCAAATATGTGGCTGACTTTTAACAAAGTTTTACTCCTGGAGATAAGGTGGGAAGAAGCACATGTACCAAAGTGTAGTAGTTTAATGCCTTTGTGTCAATATGGAGAAATCATACTTCAGCACATATGTCCCACTATTTTCCAAACTCAGACCTGCCCCTCATTCTTTGTTAATTAACTTTTGCTCCAGAACCCCCATCCTTGTCCCAGCATTCACTTCCGGCATAGGAGGGAACCTCATTCTCCAAACTACTCCTGGAGCCCACTTTACCTCTTTCCTGCCCTCACATTCAACTCACTTCTAGACTACTTTTTCATTACTAGTCTTGACATTTTTACATCTGCCCCCACTACTTAAAAGTATACCCTCTCTCAAAGGTAAATAATAATCATAAAAACTACTCAGTCTCATCCTTTCTTACCTTTCTAACACCCTCCACTATTTTACTCCCACAGGCTTTCTTATTGACTAAAAATTCCAAAGTATTACCAAATATTCATTTTTAAAATGTTGAGCTGGATATTTAGGTACAGTACTTCCAATTTTCACTCATTTTACATTTACTGAATGAATAACTATGTGCCAATAACTATATTTGGACATACTGCAATTGTTAATGTAGGACCTTCAGATCCAGCCACACATTAAGCAACAATAAATGAGTATCTAGTCTTTAAGATTCTCCTATGAAGAACTAGGCAAGAATTATACAGCCCAGAAGGAAACACTTGATGAAAATTTAAAAAGTATTTAAATGAAAATGACCTTTTCTCATTAAAAAGGCAAAGATATTCATTCTTGGAAAAAAGAAAACCACTGAATGCAGATGAACAACAAGCACTCTAGGCACAATGCCACCAGAGGTGGTTAACCTCTCGGGGTGAGTTTTTTTGTGTGTGGGTAGAAGTGCCTGCATGTGAGTGCATGGGTGCACACACACTTCCATCAGTAAAACCTGTATGGTAAATAAGACAGAGAGAGAAACAGAAATATCTAGGAAGAACGGAACTCGTTTGTCAGTCAGAAAAGCTGTTTATTATATTTAATGAACTGTTAAGAAAAGAATCAAACTTTAAAAATAATGCTTAATAGAAATTAAGATCATAGCTTTTAATGATCCTAATAATATACTAAACCATTTTTTTAAAAAATACTTCAGTACAATATTTGAGAGGGATTCTTTCATTCAATACACATTAAGAACCCTGAGCAATGCTCCATGTTAGGTGCTAATGTAACAGGGTACAGCCAACAGGTGAGCCCCAAATAGGGATTTGTAATAGGGTCCAGGAGAGCTTGGAGATAATTGGCTCCACACCACAGGGCCACACCTGCCCAGAATGTGGGCAGCTGTGGCCAATTATGAGAGGAGACGGAAACAGGGCTGCAGAGGAAGATTAGTGCTGGGATTTAAACGGAGGCACAGCAGCCATTGGGCATCTCTCTTTTTGGGACCACGCGTCTGTTTAGGACCACACAGCTTTGGTGTCTTGGTTGGACCATGAGGCTTGGGTAAGAGTCAGGACCACGAGGCTTTGGAAGTGCTCCCTTTTGCCATGTGGAGGGTGCTGGGAGGACTGTGTGCATTTGTGGGGAACTTTAGTTTGTGTTATTTCAAATGAATAATAAATTCCTTTCCTTTTCACGAATCTCAGGCATTGAGAGATGTCTTTCCTCTGGCGGTGGACATAACGAACCTGGGGGGTTCTTTTCGGGTAATAGTATATTGCCTCGGCTGCCCTTGGCCCCCACTTTTGTACTGTAACACTAAGGACAGAATGAAGTAGCCTCTGCCCTCTAGGAGCAAACAGCCTAGTAACAGTTAATAAAGTTATTATGTTATAAGGATTAGTACTATGATAAAAGTTAATCACAAGGAATGACAACATATGGTGGGGATGTAAATCAAGGCAAAAATCCTGGAAGAGGTAACATCTGAACTTGAGTTTTAACTAGAACAAAAGTTAGGGTAGAGAAGAAGGAGGGCAGGGAGGAGAAAATTTCAGATGGAAGGAAGTATAATGGAGAAACCCCAAGTCGGGAAGTCAGAAATTCTGGGAAGTGATCTCAGTTCTACATACAACTTACTGGCTACTAACTACTGACCTTAAAAAAAAAACCCACATTTACTTCTTTGGTTTTCAGCTCCACATCTGTAAAATGGTTTTAACAGTTAATAGCATCTCTCTCTACTTCACAATACTGTTGTCAAGAAAGTCATTACCAACTATAAAATAACTTACTATTTAAGAGTTTAAGGAAATTTAAAAGCTTACTTGCCTCTCTGATACTGAACACAAAGGAGAATGCTGTGCCACCAACCCCTTCTGTAAAGTTTCCTACCCTGAACCCAGGTAATAATAGGTCCCTTTAGGTCCTGCTATTAGGAAGTTGCTGAAGGGACCTGTTATTTAGTATTTAAGGGATCTATTATTGGGATTTAAGAGAAAAACTCATGAAATGATTGCAATCCTACCCTCAAAAAATGGCAGAACCCTCTATCAATGATAAAGTACTAAAGGCTTAAATTTTAAAACTCTCATAGTTTTTACTGTAATATTCTACTTTTAAATTTTTTATATGTCATCTCTATGGCCAAAGACTACCCTCCTCAGCAAAAGACAATCACTTTTCCCACAGTTCTCACACCACTTCTGCTGACTTACATCCATCCTAACCTGCACCACACAACCCCATGCCTTCAGTAAATTTTTGACACTTGTGATAGAATACCTGGGGATTCTGATAAATCTCCAAATCTATAAATATATTTTTTAAAATAAACTCCTTTCTCTGGAGCCATATTTCCATTAATATTCCATGCTAAAAGTTAGGTTCTCTCCCCTTTGATTCTGCACTGATGAACACTCTCCCAAAATGGAGTGTGACCAATCAGTTCATGTTATCAGATCAAACCAATATCAAATTGATAATATCTATCCATTATTTTTATGAAAAAGATGTTATACCACCAGTCCTAAACCAAACTGAGATTCAAATGCTAGATGATTTGGGCAGGCTTAATTCCTAAGAATTTGCTTTCACACACAGTACTCAATTCATGTGACTACATTTCAGGAGCCTTTAAAAGGTTTCATGAACATTAAACCCAAGTATGTCATAGCATATTGTCATCTCTTCTCCCAAAGCTCTCTGAAATCAGAAGAAGCAGAATCTTCTTCTTCCTGCCTAGCAGAATCAATGACATCCAGCAGGTCCTCAGCACTATTCTCATGCTCAATGTTTACTAAACAACTCAGTCACATTTGCTGTACTAAAGCTACTCAATGACATGATCTCAAATAAGAGTCTTTGTAAAATTAGTTACTTGAAGTCAGGAAATATTCCACACACATTTACACCAAAAAAAACCACAGACAAAAAATAGTTGTAAATGTATCGCAATAAAACTACAGGTTAAATATAATACTGTGATTTAACTTGGACAAAACAAATGGCATTTCTGTGATCATCTGTGTAGGTCTGTGGGCAGGAAGACTAGACTGCAGAGCCACAGACTTGTCCCTGCAACCCCAATGCAAGGTCAGAGGGAATGGAGAGTAAGAAGGAACAAAGGAAAGAAGGAGCCTACGTGCTTACTGAGAGGCTGAAAACTTTGAGGAACTTGGTTCCTACCCGTTCATTCTCTGGGGACTTGGGAATTCCCAGACCTCCACTATGGGCCATATAATCCAATTTTCCCAAATTATTAAAAATGGTTAACACTTGTGATTAGGGTGCTTATGGCAATACAAAAGTTAGAGAAATCACTTACCTGGTGTAGTTATTAACTTGCTGTGATCTTGACATGTTTATACTATTCAGTTCTGGTACATTCAAATTAGATGACTGGTGTTTACTATGGCAATATGATTGATGTGCTTTATTTGATATTATACCATTACTACAACTTTCAAAACCTGGGAGAAAAAAAAAGAAAAAGAGAGGTTATGAACATAGAAACAAACACTAATTTATTATTAGGTTGTAAATAATGTACCCATATTCTGATTTTTGTATGTAAAATATAGGAGAATCGATGGATTATTTAAGTAATAAATAACTAACTTCTTTGAAAGGATATAAATATATAATTATCATCTCCTCTAACAATTACAGAAGGCTTCATTATGGACCTTCCTTATCCTCACCTCCCACCCTCTGAGAGCAGTGTTATCATCACCCCTGAAGTGACTGTATGATATTCAAGAGGTGTAGTGGCTAAGAAGACAAACATGAGAATCATCTGCACTGCACAGAATATATAAAAAGAGAGGTATTAATGTAGGAAGGTATATATGGTGACTAAGAAAAAGCAAAGGTGTTACTCCATGAAAGGAAAGGAAACAGCATTAGATTCTGTTTTAGAAAGTTAAATGTAGAGGAAAGATAACACCTTGAGAAAAACAGAATGAAAGAGACAAGAAAGAAAACTAAAAAGGATTAGGAATAAACTTGTAGAAGTGATCATAAAAGCAAAGAAAGGAGAGAATTCTAAGTATGAGGACACAAAAGCCTTGGAGAGTAGGGCTGTTGAACCAAAAAAGGGGCAGGAGAAAATGTGCGGGGCAGAGTGAGCTCTGGCAGGAAGTGTGGTTGAGGAAGAATGAGATAAAAAGCACAGATCACAGCCACATCACCTCCCTTAAACGTATGCTTTACTAAAACATACGACTGATTACCTTTTCATTACCAAGCATCTATGATTTAATTTCTAGAGGGAACTCATATGTTGGCTTTTGTTTATGAAGATCTGCTACAATAACCAATTCTCAGAAAGAGTTCTTCAAATTACTTTCTGATAATACAAACACATACATCTGATCCACCTACAATTTTTCTTCTAGAACATCCTGCGATCAAATATACACATGTGCAAAACTACTACACAAAAAATGTCTAGATTTTTAAACATTTTATTTTGGTTCAAAAATATAAGAAAGGAAAAAATATAAAGTTAATATCATAAGACTGAATCTCACCAGAAAAATGTGCAGTACTTCCTTTGCCAGATGCTAAATTGTGGATATTCATTCCATGGCTGGGGCTCATACTTGGACTACTAAAAGGTCGAGGACTAACAGGATAACTGTCTTGAGATTTTGGACTTCGGCCTCCCAAACATCGTACTTCACTATCTGTACCATTCACCATTTCTATAAACTGACGCACTCTAAAATAAGGGAAAGAAATTTACTTAGATAATCTTCAAATAGCCATTTATTTAATAGCAACAGATTTCTTAAAAAAGATTTTTAAGAGCTTGTGTATATCAATAACTTTGGCCTTTAGATAGTATTCTAAAAATACTAAATATGGTTTCATATACTATATTGCTTAAAATATAAAACAAAACTATAATGCAAAAGATACTATATCCCCTTTAATCCAGATTCACTAAGAAAATGAAAATCTATCTGCAGCTATAAAAAAACAAAATCAAAATGGATTCCTATTTTAAGCCCCAAAATACTTTAATCACACTAATATTTGCACTTGGTAAAAAAAAAAAAAATAGTATATAAGAACATGATGGGGTTCCAACAAATATTTCTATACTCCAATTCACAGCAGCGTTGTTCACAGTATCTAATAGTGGGAGAAACTCAACTGTGTGTCAGTGGATGAGGGAATAAACAAAATGTGGTATATATACAATGGAATATCATTTAACCTTCAAAAGAAAGGAAATTTTGTGCTACAACACAGATGAACTTTGAGGACATTATGCTGTAAGGTAAATAAGCCAGTTACAAAGGACAACTATTTCATGATTCCACTTATATAAGGTAGTAGTCAAATTCAAATTCACAGAAACAGAAAGTAGAATGGTGGCTGCCAGGAGCCGCGGGGAGGAGAAATGGGTAGTTAGTGTGAAATGAGGACCAAGTTTTAGTCTGGGAAGATGAAAAAGGCCCTGGAGATGAATGGTTGGTGACCATTACAAAGCAATGAGACTGTACTTAATACTACTGAACTGTGCATGTAAAAACAGCAAATTTTATGTTATGTATACTTATAATTGTTAAAAATGCCACAGGCTTACTATAAGGTAATTACTATATGGTAGTTTACAGAAGGAAAAATAGATTCCCATCTCCTAAATAAGATTTCCACATTTGGAAACAGAGACAGAACGACAGAACAGCAAACACACAGCAAATGACGCCATCTGTTTATGCTCCTCAACACAAGTGCTTCCCATTATAATCTCTTACTTAAAAGTGTTATATTACAAAATTTTCTGTCACCATTTGAAAAAAGTTAAAACAAAAAGTACAACAGGGAAATGATTTTGATTACAAATAACACACATACATAATAAATATAACATGTCTGTTAAAGAAACTCACTTTAATGTGAAAAGAAGATTAGGATTTCTTTCAAGTAAACTTGGGTACAACTGTTGTGTTGTTTCAATGGCTTCTCCCATTCTTCCTGCTAATACCAATTTCTGAATTCCTATTTATAAAAAGAGGCAAAAATTAACGTTTTAAGAGTAGAAACATATAGTAGACTCTCAACAAAAAAAGACTTAGTAAAACATTTTAAAGTAAGTTACTGTGATTAATTTTCATTTCTTTTTCTAAAATCATAGTTTCAAAGAAAAATTTTCAGATACATTAAAAAACAAGTATTTTCATAAACTATTTTTAAAAATCAAAAACTATCATACAAGTAATATAGGAAAAACACCTATTAAGCAGTACTGAAGTAAGACACACTAAGGTTAAAAAGATGGCTACATTTATGGCATACATGGTACTTATGGTTTGTTTCGCGGATACATACTAATCTCCAAACTCATCGAATTACATTCACTAAATAGGTACAGATTTTAATATGTCAACCATACATCAATAGGGTGGTTATAAAAAGACCATAGGAAACATTAAAGAAATAATATTCAAAATGTCTTATCAATATTAACCTTTGGAACCCAGTACTTATAGAATGCTCAACTTTGAGTAAGATCTGAATTCAACAGACACTCAGTGAACATTTCTTGTGTCACATACGTGTTACATTAGATGAGGATGGAAAGAATAAGTTATCATCTCCTGTTCACTAGAGCTTGTATAGTGAGACAAAGCATACAACAGCAACAACACAATGTTGTCAAGGTTATTATAACAGTTTGACCTATAAAAACATTTTGTTTTCATCCATCATGATTTTGCCCATCATGTTTTGCTTTTATGCCTATATACTCACCAAGTTCTACTCTCCCTGATGAACAAGTGTACCAATTTTAAGATGGCTAACTATGAAACAAGTTATTGTGCTAACCTGCCCTTGTGAGAACAGGTCCTATCGCTCTGGCCACAAGCACTATAGAAACTAAGCAATAAATACTTATGATCAAAACTATCTTAAATTCAGATAGCTATTTAAATGCAAAGGTATTTAAATTTCTTTCATATATTACCTCCACTAACATCTAGTTATGGGACTACTTTAATAATAATTTTTTAAAAACCATTTTATTAAATGTTTATTTCCTGAAAGCTCAATAAAATATTTTTGAAGAAAAAATGGTAAGCATTCTTATAAAAAATTCTCCAAAATTATATCTTTCTACAACTAGGATGCTAGCGAAGTCCTATGTTATTTATTTACATAATATACTTATGTAACACCAATGTGGGAGAGAAACATCGATCAGGTGCTTCCCGTACATACCCTGACTGGGAATTGGAACCAACAACCCAGGTATGTGCCCCAACCAGCAATAGAACCCACCACCTTTTGGTGAATGGGACGATGACCCAACCAACAGAGCCATCTGGCCAGGGCCTATGTAAAGTTTTTAAAGGTAATCTTCAAAAATGTCAATGAAAACAAATTGCAGAAGCATGAATTTTAAAATCTATTTTTAAAATTTTTAATTTAAAAATAAAATTTCTAAATGTGTTATAACCCAACTATAACCTGAAAACAAGTATTAGCCATGCACCACAGGGCCCTTACTTTGTCTATTCTTAATGGAAGCCAACTCTTCTAGAACGGTCTGGTCTGTAGATCTGGCAAAGGCCTCTGCTGTGGCACAGTACCCATGATGGACTAAATAAGATGAAACCATTCTTAAAATAAAAAGAAGAAACACAACTTTTAGTCAAGACAATATATGCTTCATACTACAATTTATATACACAAGGTCTACTTTGGTGTTACAAAACCAACCTATTTCCTTGAAACAATTAAGGCTTCAATAACCTCAAGTTCAAAGTTCAAAAAATCACTTTGTTCTTTCGTGTAGTGTTTCTGAAAAGATACCTGAAAACGCTACATTGAGACCTACTGTCCCCAATCAAGGACATCCCTGTTCTGTCCAAGTCCTTCCCTATCATTCCCTATCCTTACAGAAATCCTACTAACCATAAATTCTGTTTCACATTTATCATGACTCAACCCAATAAAGTGCTGTCATTTTATAAAATTAATTTGAAATAACAGATTAACTCCTTGAATTACAGGGTTCAGCTCCGTTCTTCATCTATCAGTTACATTACATGGGATAACAAGGTTTGAACACAAGAAATAACCAAGGTAAACCCGAAGACAGAATCTTCCAGAAAAAGTCTATGAGGGTGATAATATTAATCAATGAGGAGTTGGCCTTCTGATCTAAATCAATTAGTATGGCTGTGCACAGGAGATTAATTACTCAAATATGATTTATATGTAAGTGACACACTTCCAAAACAGTTTATTTCTTAAAAAGCCACTTAGTGGCCAAAACACATACTTAAATCTAACCACAAAATGTTAGAAAAACTGTTGACTAAGCAATATTAACCCAGATAGCCAATATATCCAAATATTCAACTCTTAAATCTATCTCCATCTGGACTGCTGAGGATGTGCTCGAAAACTGTAGGAAGCAGTGGTTACGGAAAGGGAATTGAGGTGGCGGGGGGGAATCTCTAAGAAATAGATTTTTCATTTTATTTCATCTAATTGTCCAAATTAATTTAAGAAGTAGGGAGAACCTTTTTAAAATAAACCTTCCAAAAAGTCAGAGTGTCATTTTTGTGAAGAATAAGGTTGAGGTCAGGGCCCTCACTGAACTCCGGCTATAGGATACAATATTTCCTCTCCTACTATCCTGCCATGATGCTCTGTGCCAACAACTTTTAAAGCATTAAAGGGATGGACCCAAGAAGAGCAACTTATCCTAGCTCTAATTCACGGAAACTGTGGGATTCTGAGTCAGGGTTCACTATTCTTTCAAGTGCAGGACAAAAATATTTGTGTGGACTCTCTAATACCTGATGATAATAGCTCTAGAGAAGGAGCATGTTTTCAGAATCATAAGCGTATCTTCCAATCATTATCTCCTCCAAAATGTTCCTGCAGAAAGCTTTATTAGATTTGTAAATTTCAGACTGTTCAAAGCAATTATAGACATTTAAGATGAATTGTGTTAGATTGATGTTATCTGAAAGCCTCTGTTATTTTCTTGGGTTAGATTACAGTAGTGATAATGACTATTTAAATTTACGGGTATTCAGTTAATTTTTAAGTCTATACTCTTTCAAGCTTTAAGAGCTACCATTTAGTACCACTGACATTCAGGTGTCATCTGAGGTAACAGTCATAAGAATTATATTTTCCTGCTGACATCCATAATAAAATTCTACTTTTTCATAAGAAGCTCCCTAATAAAACAAATTGAAATTTTTGGTAAAAAATGAGTTGAGACAAAGGTTATTCATTGTACAATACTTTTATTGACACCCACTATGTGCTCTGCTGCTGCCCACCCTCCACCACTGTTACTACTGGATCATAAGTATTTATTCTGCACTTGGGAATCTTAACTCCACGTTCACTGTTCCTTGGCTTCATCTTCTTTGCCTCTTCTTAAATGGCTAATAACAGCACATAAGTAAATGGCATTAGAAATAACTAGTAAGATATTTAAAATTTCTTACATCAGAGGTTTTTGGTTGGTCATATTCTCCTATTTAGAATAGGAGCAATTATAACATTCCTAAAACTACATGACAAATAAATATTTAGCAAAAAACGGATCCCAGTAAACAAAAATAGCTAACATTCTTACAGAGAATAATCCATTCACTAGAAATATTTAGCCAGATCCTTAAAAGTATAATGTACATATTACATCTGTCTTCCAGACTTATATAGAATGTAAACTATATAAGTATATACTTATATATAAGTATATATAGTTTACATACTATATATAAGTAAACTATATAAATATGTAAACTATATAAATATAGATATAAGAATATATTCCAGACTTATATATAGAATATAAACTATACCATTATCCTGATGCTTATTCTTACTGAGCAGTAATTCTTTTCCCTATAAATACTTGAACTACTGCGGAACACCACAGTCATGTGCACATGATCCTAAATTATACAATCTGAATTACCTTTCTGAATTTATCTTTTGCATTGGTGCTATTAAAAGATGAGTCATATAACCTATGGGAATCATTAAATGCCATTACTAACCAGAGAAAAGGAATTACCCTAACTCAAACAATCTAGTGTTATTTTATTTCTTCCATCCAATTTATAAGCCAGACTAATATATTATTCTGTATGGTGCCATCAAACATTCTCTTTAATTGTTTTAAGTAGTGAATTACTTTTTACAGAAATTAAAATATAATCAATATGCAAATTACTAGGCTATAAATGAATAAATTTAAAAGCTTCAACAAATATTCTTTTGTACGAAAAGAATAAAATGTTTTATAAAAAAAGTACTTTTGAATAATGTCAATTCAAACTGCCTTATTTGCTTTTTTTAAAAAAAATTTTTTATCTTCACCTGAGGACATTTTGTCATTGCTTTTAGAAAGAGAGAGAAAGGGGGGAGGAGAGAGAGAGCACAATAGAGAAAAACATTGTCTTCTGGTATGCACCCCAACTGAGGATCAAACCCACAACCCAGGTATATGCCTTGACCAGGAATCAAACCCGTGACTTTTGGTCCCCAGCATGACACTCTAAACAACTGAGCCACATTGGCCAGGCTCACTTACTTTTGTATCATGGTCTGCCATTCTCCTTCTCGATCTCCAATAGGAAACCGGTCTATCTGTGCCTGTATTTTGGTTCTCCACTCCCGCATGTAGTCTTCTATATCAAACACAAAAGGATGCTGCCCAAAATTGGCATCAACGACCTCTCCTGGTGTCTGAAGCCCAACAGTGGGATATAAGTTTGGCTGTAAGACAACACATTTCACTAAGCATCTATCCCTTTTATGTTAAAGGCATTCATTCTTTCAAATGTTATCTCTTTAAAATGTCAAAACAATAAATTTATTTCATAAATATTTTGAAATCTCAATCCAAAATTAGAGGAAGACTAAAGCAAATATTCTAAAATATAATAAAATGAAAAATATCATTTCCTATAAAGTAATCAAGAAAAATATGAAACAACCTTGTACCCACTTTATTTATTCAGAGACTACATGGAAATAAGACTTTTGGTAAATGAAGACATAATCCTTGCTCTTAAGAATGTTGTATATTAGCTACAGTGATTCAAGTATAAACACATAACTCAGGTTTACCCTTTTATATGATACATGTAGTGCATTTCTAGAAATCTCATGTGAAAGCTAGTTACCATAGAAACAATCCTAACTGGGCAGGTACTATTTTAAGTTTACTAATTTCCCTTATCTATATACTTGGGATGCCTCTGTAAAGAGATGATGATAATTATGAGGAAAACGGTGCTATTAAAAGTGGGGATTCTCCATATAAAAATAAAAGACATGGATGGACATATTTCAAGAGAGAAAAAGGACAGATTTGAAATTTCAAATTTATAAAGAAATGCATTTAGATATACTCCAAGATTCTGAGATTAAACAAACAATCAATTTAATAGCTCCAGGTAAACAAAAAAACCCAGAGTCCTTTTGGCTCTATCACTATTTGTTCCACCTAAAGGGAGAATGAGTTACTGAATGGCAGCATTTTAATCATTATGTAATCCAGTGAAGTAATTATTATTATTTGCATTACAAAAATATGGAAACTGAGGTTCAGGGGCAAATTAACTTGCTCATGGTCTTTCTACACTATGGCAGAGGTGGGAATGGAACAGGTTTTTCTGACACCAAATCTACGTTCCATATTTCTTCCTAGAAATCCAATTCCTACTTCATCTTCATCCTCTGTATTTATGCCTTACTTCTTCACTTTAATGGTTATCACAAATGTTTTCAGTACGAAATGTAAAGATGACAAGAGCATAATTTATGTATAATATAAGATGCTTAAACAGATTTCAAGCAGAAAGTAGAGTGTGTTTAAAAACAACTGATCAAACAAGCAACTACAATCAGAAACAAAAGGAGTAGTATGTTAAAATACTGAGCAATAGAGTTGCACCAGGTTAGGGGGAAAAATGGTAATGCAATGTATAAAAATGTACTGATTTTTAATAATCAACAAAATGGGCAAATTAATAGAATTTTAAGTCAAACACAAGTAAAATACTTATTACAACCATCTCATTTCACCAATGAGAAAACAGACCTAAAGTGTTCAAGAATTTATCCAAAAGTATGCTTATTAATGACACACACAAAGGGAAAAACAACTCTCATTCACTGCACACAGAAATGTAAACTGACAATCTTATCAGGAAAACTTATGGCAAAATCTATTAAAACTGGCAAAGTAATTTCATTCATAAGAATTAATCCTATAGAAAAAAATATGTAAAGATATACAAGGCCTGTCCAGAAAAAGTCCAGACATTGTTGATATAATGAGAATGATTTGTGCGACACTGATGCAACCTGGTAGCCACGGAGAGTGGACCAGAATGCGCACGTGTGAATGATGATGACTTCACTGTACTAGTCAGTGGGGAGTGGTAGATGCCACTGAGTGAGCATGTGTACTGTGTGGCTGTCACATTCAAAACGACTGAGTGAGTAGAGCAATGAATCTGCATCAAATTTTGTGTTAAACTTGAACATCCATCCATGGAAACTATTAGGATGATTCAGAAGGCTGAAGCTATGGGCAGCTGATGATTGGCAGCTTCATCATGACAACATGCCCCCTCACGCATCACATCTCTTGTAGAGGTTTCTGGAGAAACATCATATCACCCTGGTGACTCAGCTCCACTATAGCCCAGATTAGGTGCTCTGTGACTTCTGGCTTTTCCCAAAACTAAAATAACCTTTGAAAGGGAACAGATTTCAGACTGTGGATGAGAGTCAGGAAAATATGATGGGACAACTGATGGTGACTGGGAGAACTGTGTGAGGTCCAAGGTGCCTACTTAGAAGCAGACTGAGACACCATTGTCCTATGTACAGTTTCTTTTATCTTCTTCAATAAATGTCTCTATTTTTCATAGTACATAGCTGGATGCCTTCTGGACAGACCTCACATTCCTACAAATTTGCAATTTGTAATTACAAATAAAAAATATGTCCATTTATAGGTAGAATTATACACCATATTCATCAAAGCTCAGACTCCAATAATTTTAAGATGTCATTATTTTATATTTAAGAAAAATCATTGCCCATTAAACTCTCACAGACTGTAGATCCTAAGATATATCTCCATTTCATATATATTAAATTATAAAAATAAACAAAAGTAAGGAAAAATGTGTATACTGACAGAGATGCCCAATATATATTACTAAATGAAGAGAAGGAGCTACAGAAAAGTACATAAACTATCATTCCACCTTTTCTGTAAAGATTTACATAATGAACATACCAGCAATTCTACTTCTAGGAATTTATCTGAAGAAACACAAAACACTAATTTGAAAGAATATAGGTAAACATTTTTATTCCATAAATAGACCCTCTACCAGGATTTAATGCTACAATAAAGAGTGATATTATAGGTACAAAACACATATAAATATTTGTTTGGTGGTCCCTTTAAGGGAAAGATTTTTTTCCTTCCTTTTTAAGTAGAAGAATGATATCTTGCATGTGGAAGTCCCAGAAGATCTCAGTCATAAAAATAAAGAACTTTCTGAACCACAATCACCATAACCACCACTCAACAGACTTTTACAGAAACAAATTTCACCATTGGTTAATTATAGACAAGTCAAAACATAGCTGGCAATTCTAAATGGGACAAAAAATAGTTAGAAGGTAACAAAAATAGTCAATATGTCCACAACAGCTAAGCCTTTTCCAAGGAAATTATCACCACCATCTACCAACAAGGAATAAAAACAAACAAAAAATCTGCTCGCTCTGACAAGTTAATTTACTTGTTTAGTGCTACAAAAAGAGAAAACAAAAAAAACAGCTACTAAGCCCTTCAACCAATTCCAAATGACACTTGGTCTTAACTAAACCTCTGCATTGGCTCCAAACCACACCAACCCACCCGCCACCACCCAACCCACACCTTTGCTCCCCCACCTCTCCCCACCCCCACAGATGCTCTTCTCTGACGCCTACCCCTTCCACCTACATATATGATCACAGCCCAACTTTCTACTCAAGGGTATGATCACAGTTACTTTCCTTCTCTCTATATTACATCAACTTTTGCTTGGTAGTGAATCATTCTCATCGGCAAACATTCTGCTAAACCTAACAAAAAAAAAACCTTCTATTGCCCCCACTTCCACCACCAGCTACTTCATCCCATTTTTCTACTCCCTGCTGTGGCCAAAATCCTCCAAAGTTGTCCACACTCCATCACCTCCCTCTTCCATCAGAATCTCTCCATCACTCTTCTTAAATTTTCTTGAAAAGGTCATCAGTGACCTCCACTCTGCTACACCCACTGGTCAATTTGTGATGTTTCACAATGGCATCTGACACCCCTGATTACTCCTTTCTTGATATACCTCAACACTATTTTTACTTTGCTTTGATGGCACCCAATTCTTAGTCTTCCTTCTACCTCAGTGATTGCTCCTTCACAATTTCTCCCTGCAGGTTTCTTCTCTTCTCCCACATATGGCATGCCCCAGAACTCAGTCCTTGGTCCATTTCTCTTCTCTGCCTACACATACTCCCTTATGGATCTCAACAAGTCTCACTGACTTTATATTTAAACACCAAAATGCCAATTACTCACAAATCACTTTTGAATTCTGGGACTATATATCCAACTGCACACCTGACAACGCCACTTAATTTATCCAAAAATTAAACTCAAAACCTCCTCCCTCTATCTACACCCTTCTCCACATTATAAGTGGCATCTCCACTCATCCATTTTCTCAGGCCCAACATCTTGAAGTCAGATCCTCTTTCTCACCTTTTTGCATCCAATTTATCAGAAAATGTTCTTGGCTCTCAGCTGGATTTACACACACACATCTTATTTACTTACTTTAATCCATCTGGAAGTTACTGTAGTATAATATAAAACGCAATCCTAAGATTTATATTTTCAAAAACAAAACAAAACAACAAAATGACACCAAAACACTTGTTCCATCACCACTTGATAAATAATGTTTCTTGGTGAGCATTTTTGATTTGTAGACTCTGAATTTTCTCTGGCTTAGCACAGTTTTTTCTATTATAACTTTGGTATCTTTTGTTTTTCTAGGATTTTCTTCAGGAATATTAATAATCTGTAGTCTATTCTCACCTCTGAATTCAGTTTCCCATCATTTCAAAACATCTCTGAAACTGGAATGTGTCTTATAATCGATGGTATCTTACATGTGGCCAGGCAGCTGTCATGACACAGCTGTCACTGCTGCAAAGGTATGAATTTGTTAAAGGATCAGCTTACTAAAAACTCTGGGACTTGATTATTTTTTCTGGTGAAACAGCTGGATAATTGCAACCCCTAAGACATTTTAGTCAACAAGCCAACTGAGAAAGGAACCCCAGAGTCCTGGTTATTGTCAAAAAACCTTTCTGAATACTCTCTGGCAATATTAAGAAAGTGACAGCATCAAAACCTTCACAATGCCATCAGGAGCTCAGGAAAAAATGCCGGAGACATACTGGAGAACTCTTAAGAAATGTTCTTGATGGCAAAGGAAATACTATGTGGAACACCACCAACATCAACTCTACACAAGTAGTTTAAAAGTTAGATTCAACTTGAAGAAGTGTGGGGAAGACTTTAATCAATTTATATTGCCATGTCATCATTTTTAATAATGCAGTAAGTGATATTTATTAAAACCTATTAAATACTTTCAAAGATTGTTGGGTAAATGTAAAATACAAATTCTAAGTGATAAAAAAGCATTGTATCGTAGTTTGCTAGTTTTTTGTCTCTAGTGTTACATGGTATGCATATGACACTGGACAGAACCTCAGATCTGGTAAACAAGGTGTCTACAGTCACACCACTTTGCCCATCTCTAGTGATGGAGTCACCATTATCCACTGCCTCAATTTCTGCAATAGCCCCTCTCAGGTCTGTTTGAGTGTAACCTTATTCTCTACGCACCATCTATTTTTCAAGCCTACAGTCAGTGTTCCTTTAAAACTGAAGCTGTATCAGAAGAACTAAAGTCTGTAACGCCTTTGTATCTCACTCAGAGTAAGTGTCAAAGTCCTTACAATGACCCTCAGGATCTGGATGATCTGGCCAATCCCAACCATTGTTACCTCTGATTTACCTCCTCCTATGGTCTGTCTTTCGCATGTCTTTCTACCTCACTTCATGCTATTCTTCAAACAGGACACACATGGTACTGCTTTACCACACACGTTCCCCTGACTATTCCCTCAGTCTGGAACAGTTTTGATCTATATATCCATTTAGTTAACTCCCTCACTTCTTCAAAAGTCTCTGCTCAAGTCTTAGCTTGAGCAAAGGTGAGCAAATTGTACATCCCATGTTCTGTGTTTGGTACTCTCATGCTGTTTTGTTTTTTCCTTCTTTGAAAAGTACTTAAAAACCTTTTAAAAATGCTATGATTTACTTGTTTGTGATGCACTGTTCATTCTCACTTCCCCAGCTTGAATACCCCAAAAGGACAGAGACCTTTACCTTATCTGTTTTCTTCAAATGATATATAGCCAAGCACAGAACCTGCCATATAGCATGCATGCAATATACACTGAATTAATAAATAATTAGAACTGCTTTATAGTCACTTGCTGGAAAGTCCAACAATACCAAAAATAATTCAAATAAATGCATAGTGACATTAAAAGTATATTTTAATAATCATTTCTGATTTATTTTTTAGCCATAACAAAGTTTCCTTATACAAGGTGTCCAGTGCAATTTGAAGTTTAATTTCTGAAAGTCAACAACAACTAGAGAAAGATTTCTAGTCTACGCATGGCATGTAAACTGAATGTCAGTAAGAATGTATTCTAAATGTGCTTAGCATTAGTTTCTTTATAACTTGTTTAATTAAAAATGTAAAAATGCTTTAAAAAAAGTTATGTCTTACCGGTAGGTCAGTGAAGGCAATACCTTAAAAAAAGAGAAAAGGTGGCATTAGAAGCTGGTTTTCAAAGGCAGACTATGGTAACAAGTTAAATTTCTAACCAAAACAAAGAAAAGGAATAGAAAAGGCAGAAAAGAAAAACTGAATACCTAACTATAAAATAACGAGAGTAATCTTTTTCTCAATAACACTAACAGGTCTGAGTGAATGCTGAGCCCTTTTTCAAGATCATCATCCTTATTAGCCAGACACCAATTTTATTTTTGTCAGACTGCTACTGATTCCAGTTTTTAAATGATTTTTAGATATATCTTCAAAGCTATACTAGAAATCATATAAGCAAACTGGTTGCAAAATAGTCACATCTGGATTTTGACCAATACCCAAAGTGCTTTATCTAGCTTATCACTTAATCTTCCTCACTTAGACTTAGCTGTTAAATAATTTGGGGGAAAGGGAAATATCTAATATAATAAAAAAGTTAAACAACAAAAAATACAGTATTTTGTTTCTTTAAAAAAATAAAATTTCTTACAAAAGTACATTCTTGAATAACCTTTGACTACTCTGGGAAACAGTTCCTCTTTCAAAGGATAAAGATTTATACAGTGAGAATTTCTCTTGAATGTCCTCACAGCAATTTCAATGCAGTCACATTCCAAATACACTTGAACAAGGTTAATATTGTTGAAATAAGTTACTGCCATCCAAAAGTAATGATTTAAGAATCTCTCTTCAAAAATTAAAATATATTACTTAAACAAAGATGATAAACTACATGTTTCTACAGAACCTCACTCATATATTTAAAAAGACTGAGTTCTAAAGTAATGGGAGGGGTGATGCTGGTGAGTTAATTTCAAATCTTCTAGTCTAAACACACGTTAAAACAAATGACCACACCTGCCTGGTCCTGCAGTGCTGTTCACCATCTAAAAAGTGAGGGTATTTCCGCTCGATTATCTGCAAGGTCTCTTCCCACTTGACATTCTATGATTCTATAATTGTGCCGCACCATCAGAAAACTGACTCTATTTATTAAGCACTAAAATTAAAAGACAAACCGACTATAAATCTCTACTACATGTTTTTAAATAAATATGTAAAAATAGTGCTTTGTAAGTTAAAGAACTTTCAAAAACTAGTGAATTCACACTGGCTTGTCAGAAGGAAAGGAAAGCTGGAGGTCCTCCCCTGCCACCCCAGGAAAATACTCTGATTACTTTTCGCTTCATTAGTAAAGAGAAAGCGAAGTGACTGTGGGCCAAATATGAAAATTTGTTCTAAAAATTTCAGAACACTTTTACAAAAAGCATTAAAGAATAAGTATTTTAATAAAATTTTACCATGTCTTTGCCATTTTTCATAAAATAGCTTAATCTTTTTCTCAAAGATGTTCATATAAAAAACACAAAACTGCCGAAATTTATATTGTTTCACTAAAAATCCCTTTTTGCCATTAATTACTGAAATCTTTACTCTTTACTAAAAACGTAATCAAAGTGCCAACTTGATTTCATAGATTAATACTTTTGATCACTGGCAAATATAGCTACCCTAGCCTATACACAGTTAAACCACAAAAAGATGCCAGTTTAATAAGTTGGTATAATTACTTACATACAAAGAAAGCAGGCTTTTTATATAAGTTCTAATTTCCTGATTTGTCAAGAGGCTTTTTGAAAAGTGATCTTCATTTGATTAGTGGTATTCATTAAAATAAAGTAAAAAAATTTCAGGTTAAGTTAACCTGGATACTGAAATGTTTCTCTTTTAATTGTTTTCCCAATAAAAATCTTTCCATTTCTCCTTATATGGTAAATAAATACATATTGTAAAACCTTCATGAGACAGAAACTAAAAATGTATAGGCTCTTGGGTAAAAATTATCCACTTTGGGAAGTACAAAGATCTTCTTCTAGATGCTAGAATCTGGACCAGAGGTGAGCACATTTCTCCTACAAAGGGCCAGAGAGTAAATATTTTCTGCTCTCTGGGCCATATGGTCCCGTAACAACTATTCAATTCTGCCACTGTAGCAGGAAAGCAGCCATACACAGTACATGAAAATGGATGTAGCTGCATTCCAATGAATCTTTAGTTCTAAAGGAATAACTTTGCTCACTAATGTTTTACCACTGCATCCCTGGCACCTAGCCCAGTGTCTGGCAAACAATGATAATAAACATTTACTAACTATTCATTATGTGTCATGTCAAGCAATCACCTAAGAACCGCACAGGCATCATTTCAGTTCAACCTAACAACCTTAATGAAGTAGGTATTACAGTGATCCTGTTTTATACAAACTGAGGCACAGAAATGTTAACTAAGTTGTATAAGGTCACATGGTCTAAACCAGGAGACAAAGCCAGGCGACTAAAGAACCCTCTTATTAAACATTAAACCACTGTTCTACTGCCTCTCTATGTGCTTAATAAATATTAATTTATTAATAATAATACCAAATGTTTCTAATTTACTTAAAATTTGAATGTAATTCAGTCATTAGGTACCCTTTTGAAAATCTCGTATTTTAAAAGTTTTCTTATTCAAGAGAAAATTTCAAATTTAAATATCTGTAAAAACCTAATAGACAAAAAAACCAAAGTTACATCTTCCTATCTTCTGAAATAAAATATCTTCTCTGGAATAAAGTTTAAAAAACTGTCAAAGACTAATTTTAATTTTAAAAACACGCATTTTACATTTCTGAACCAAAGGTACCTTAAGAGATTTCTCCTGTTTAAGATGTTAAAGTATCTTTAGTGGCCAAACCAACCAAGACTATCCCAGTTAACTGCTTTGATAAGTCAAAGCCAGAACAGGAACAACAAATAAACTGAAAGAGGTGCATCTTTGAGAAACCAGTTAGTCACAACAATCAAATTCAAATACACATATCATTTGCATAGCAACCTTAACATTCTGTACTGATAAGAATGCTGGTGACCTATGAACAAAGCAGAGCTTAGGGGCACTGACCCCTGTGCAGTTGAAAATCCAGATATAACTTTTGACTCCCCCCAAAAGCTTAATGATGAATAGCCTACTGTTGACCAGAAGCCTCACCAATAATATAAGGTCTATCAACACATATGTTGTCTATGTATTGCATCCTGTATTCATATAATGAAGTGAGAGAAAAGAAAACGTTATTAAGAAAATCACAAGGAAGAAAAAACACATTTACAGTACCGTATGTATTTACTGAAAGAAATGCACTTGTAAATGGACCTGTGCAGTCCAGACCTGTGTTGTTCAAGGCTCAACCGTGTATAAGGATCTTTTGTGGACTTGGGACAATCTTGAAGTCAGATAATACAGAACTTTCAGAATCGATATTAATGATCAGAAGGAAAAGTTTAGGAGTATGTTGAGACACTAAGAAAAACAACTACTACCAATGCAGCTGGACATTCAGAATTTTCTACTATGAAATGACAGAAAGAGTAGGTTTTGTGTTATTAAAGAACATCTATTATATGTCTAAGCAGACTATCTGCAGTCTAGTTTTTAAATACTATTTATAAGCAAACTGAAAGTTCTGACTTCTGGGGTTACCTAGTTTTTGCCTCCTTTCTTTCACTTCAAACAGTAAAAGTAATTTGAAACCTTTTTATTTTTATACAGGATACCATCAGTTTTGGTATCCTTTATACTTTCCATAATGCAAAATGCAAAAACTAAAAAGACTTCTAAGAAATGGGAGTGTAACAAGCATATGTAATTTTTTAAATCCTTATCCAAAGATGTGCTTATTAATTTTATAGAGAGGAGAAGAAAGGGAGAGAAACATTGATATGAGAGAGAAACATCCATCAATTGCCTCCTGTACATACTCTGACCAGGGACTGAACCCTCGACCTAGGCATGTGCCCTGAATGGGAATCAAACCCACAACCTTCTGGACTACGGAACCACACTCCCCACAACTGAGCCACACTGGCCAGGGCCAATCATATATAATTTTAAGTCTGAAGTATTGTGAGTTCATATTTAACTAAAAATACTAATTTTCTGTTAGTCTTACAATGGATGGACATCTTTGTTTTCATTCCTCTATTTACTTCTTAGTCACCTGTCTTTCATTCTTAGAAATTTTGCCGTTGCTTGTTTTAATTCTGATCCCTTTTGCACAACTAACTTACAGACACCATCCTTTATCAATCTTTGTTAGCAGACACGACCTTTTAGTGTGTCAATGCCCTTAATTTGGTTGGTAGCATCAAGCTTTTCCTTCATATGTTATTTTGCCCTCATGCTAAAAACTGACAGCCCTTTTTTCTTAGTACCTGTTAACCTAGAAAACTGAATCAAATTGAATTGAATTTGGGCTTTATTCAAAGCAAAGCAGAAAACACTTAGGAATTCTATTACTAGATAAATATCTGAGCATGGAAATCATCTATACAGTTATTCCTACACATGTGATACAATGTGGCCTTCACAGAATGCAACTTCCCACCATTTTCTCAACTTTCATCGGGAAGGAACAGAGAAATAATCTCCAAAGGCATATATTTATAAAGGAGAATTACATAATTAATATGACTACCATGATGTAAGTATAATAATCACAGTATTTGGTCATTTTACATGCAATACATTATCTTAGTACCTAAACTATGTCCATTCTTGGTGTAGAAGCAGGTATTGTTGATAAGGTTAACACAACAACCAATGACATCACCAGTCGTAAAAGTTGGTCCATAAGGTTGTCCCGTTCCAGAAGAACAAAATGAATGTCCATCATCCCCATGATAACCATATGAATGTTTATCCCAGCCTAAAGAGAAAGTATTTACAATGAAATGTAAAGTTCCTTCATGCTATGGATATTCACTAAGATGATAAAATAAGCAAGAGCAGCACAACAGATATGAGATAAAATTCCCAAGTGTACACATAAATTCTCAATAATTACACTACATAATTTTTTATATTGAAGTACTGTTTATAACATTAAGGAAAATAAATTCAGCACACCGAACACTAGAACATATATTAAACAGAGAGGTCTCCTACCAGAAGAAAAAATGCAAGACAGTTTTCATGCATATTTCCTTTGCTAATAGACCAAAGGAATTCTACTTTGATTTGGTTTTGACAGATACACACACACACAGTTTAATATAAAATAGACTTTTCGGTTTTGCTTTCTATTTTCAAAATGTTTCCTCCAAAATTAAGTTTAAACATGAGTAAATAAAACACTAGAAAATATAATCCAAATATCACTTCCATGTGATCAATGGTTTCAAGAAACAGCTCTGCCATTTGGATTCACACCTTCTTTAATGTACTTTTCACATCAGGCCTACATTCCCAGAATATTAAACAATTGAAAATGGGTTAAAAGCCAAGCATGTGTTGGGTAGCAAACAAAACCAACCATACCCATTAAAATATTTAAAGCTGATAAGACTATGTACTCGCAGTTAAAAATATCAAAAAACAGGCAAAACAAAAAAAAATGTGTGGTATATATGCTTTGCCAAATAGCATAAAATTTAAATTTATTACAAAAACTCAAGTTTCCACTTCAAACCTATAGTATAGTAAGAAAAATACAAAAAAAAAATCAATGTATTTAACTATTTCAAGTTATTAAAGTTTAGCCACAAAGAGCTATGAGACTGTACTACAGTTCAATCACTACTGTACCTGGTAGTCTATTCATGTTCACGCCTTGAGCAGAAAGACCAATTCCCATGTAACTGTTAAAAGAAAAAGGAAGGAAGGAAGAAAAGCAGGTTATTATAGTGATACATGTATAAACTGCCAAACATTCTGAAATATTATCAAAACCACATCCAAGTTTGAAATTCATAGGTTACAAAGGTTATTGCAATTCATTAAGTAGCAAAAGGGCAATATTAAGCAACAATAAAACTCTATCACAGCAAATTCCAATAATCATTCATAAACACACCCAAAGTATTGGTAAAAATTATGCATTCTACTAACAATAAAAATCTTCCTGGCTCATCTACACATAAATATTTAGGATTTAGACTTCTAACAAAAAGTACTGAAGGGCTTGTAGAAGAAAAAAAAGAAATGTTAAATAAGGAACAAATATGTGTGAAAAAGGACAGGGTAAAAATCTAAACCACACATCTACATAAAAGAACATGGATATATACTTGGAAAAACTGTCAACTTCATATAAAAACGTGAATTCATTAATAAAATTACACTGAAAAGTATGTACTGTAGGGTATCTATATATTGGTTTTCTAAAAGTGTTTTTGTCAAATTGACAAAATTGACTTAAACACGAGACTCTTAATAATTAATTTATGAAACTAGAAGAACAAAATTATCTCCACAGAAGCAATACAAGAGGAAAGGTAATTATTAAGGTATACAATTCATTTTAAAAGGTTATAAATATTAATAAAACCTGATAAAGGTAGTTCAAAAAAAGTCTAAAACAACAACACTTGTAAGTACAGATGCAAAAACAAAAATAAATAAAAGAGCAACTGAATCCAATTTGCTAAAAAACTAATTGTGGTTATATCAAGATTTAAAATGGCACTTGACAAATTTCAGATACCATTCTTAATAAAAACTCAAGATAAAAATAAAAGGAAACTACTTAAATATGACACGCATTTTTATAAATTGATTAAGAGCAAGCAAGATAATCAACAGTGAAACACTGAAGCCATTTCTATTAAAATCAGGAGTATGGAGATGCCTACAACAGTTAAACGTTGTTTTGAATGTTTTACATAATTTAATAAAACTAGAAAACTAAATAACCTGTAAAACTAAAAGAAGATATAAAATTATCTTTATTTCTAGTAGTTGTGATTCTAAAGTATTTAGAATTAGGGATTTTCGCAAATAACTGGATATAAGGAAAGCACTTTAATTTCTTTTCTAGTAATAAAGAAAGTGGTGTCTGTATAAATACCAATCAAAATAACTAGAGAAACCATTAAACAGGAATAAAGATCTCATGGGATAAAAGGCTCAAAAATGATATATTAAAAGCTATAAACAAATGGGTACACTATGTATCTGGATAATTTGACAACATAAAATGGGGATTTTCCAAAGTTAATGTATACATGTAATGAGACTGAAAATAGATTATATGATTTTCTTAAATTGGATAATATGATTTTGAAGTTCGTATGTCAAAGTGTAGATTTTTGATCAAACATGAAATTTCTTTAAAAAATAACAGTTTCTTGCCTACTAGATATTAAAATTCAGTTATCTGAATTCACAAAAGCAGTATTACTAAAAGAGCATGTGTCAAGTGAGACAAGAGTGATACAACATTTAAATGTCTAGTCAAGAAGATCCATTAAGTATGTATTGATTTCAGCCCCTTTGTTCCAAATCCAACACACAGTGTAAGTATTAAAAAAAAAAAAAGACAAGGAACAAGTCAATCTTTGAGAAGAAACTCAAAGCTGTGAGCAGGTGCACAGCTATGTCGAGGGGAAAGGGAAAGTACTAGCCTCTTAACTAGAAGGATCTGAATGAAGCTGTTGAACGGATCAGTGACAAATTCTGAAATACTCATAATACCACCTTGAAGAAAGAACCTGGAAGCTGTGATGTAGAACTCGTTTTAGACTAGAGGGACCAGGGGGTTAAAAAGCAAGTACAAATAGTAATAAAGAAAAAATAAGTATAGAAAAATGTGAATAAAATGAAGAAAAAAATGTAAACTTCCTATTAAAACGAGGCCAAAAACCCCAAACTTCTAAAATATACCAAAAAAATATGTCCAATTGAACTCTGGTCAAGATGGCAGGACAGGTAAATACAATACTTTCCTCCTCCCATAACCACCTCAAAATTGCAACTGAAATACAGACTAACCATCATTCAAACATGCTTTGAAATCTGGCTGAATGGAAATCCTACACCTAGGCAATTAAAGAAGAAGCCACATGGAGACTGGTGGGAAAGGCAGAGAGGCAAAACAGGCTGGTCCCACCACCATGATGGCATCTAAAAACTGCAAGGGATATCTTGGCTACAGAGGAGGCCCCTGAGAAGTGAGGAGTACTAGCCCCACACCAGGCCACCCATCTCAGGGTTCCAGTGCCAGAAAAAGAAGTCCAGATAACTTCTGGCTATAAAAATCAGCAGTGATTAAGTCAGAGGGAGACAGGGTTTCTGGAGTCTCAGGCAGTTCCCATTAAAGGTATTACACATAAATTAGTGGGACTAACTCCCTCTGAGCTCCAGCACTGGGGTAGCATAGCAACCTGAAAGACACCGGACACATACAGGGAGAAAATGAATGGTCAGCCATCAGGGTGAGAGCTGGGACGGGGGGAATTTTCTCCCAGGCAGAAATGCTGGCAGAGGCCATTGTTCCTTTGATGATGAGCCCTCTCTATACAGAGCTAGCAGATAAGCAGCATATCTGAATCTCCATCGTCAACCAGGCTCACACTATTATTTCACCCCACCACACCCAGCTTGTGGGCCCACCGAAGCTGTTTCTGGGGGCTTTTCCATATAGTGGCCATTTTTGGCTAATGCTTCAGATTTCCCTAAAATCTCTCAAATAAGCAGCATCGGACCTCAGTACACCCCATACTTCTCACTAAATGTCCCCAGCCCTAACACCAGCAGTAGCTGGCCTTAGTTTGCAGCTTGCCCTTACCTGGGCACCTCCAAACCCAGCACCAGTAGTAGCCAACTGCAGGTGACATTGTAACTCATGCCAGATGGTCCTGGGCAGAACACAGGTGGAGGCTGACCTTGTCCTACACCTCCCTGGAGGACCCAGTGACAGTGCAACCAGTGGATAGCTTCAGACCACATCAAAGCATCACCAGCCAACTACCACCACAAGTGGCACACCCAAGGGGTGAACTCAGTGAGCACCAGAACCCTGCTGAAATAAGTCCTGCTCTGTAGGGTGGACCCTGCATAGCCAATACTTCACAGTGGTTAATGATTAGTGGTCAAAACCAGGCCTTGCAGCTAACTGGCCTGAGGGTAAATACCTTCCATTAATGGGCCTACAGCAATCAAGGCTCAACTACAACAGCAGGATGTACACAGCCCACATGGGGGGAAGGCAGCATACCTCTAGTGCTCAGCTTGGGTGATTGCAGAGGCCGTGCTACTGGATCTTACAAAATACCAACTACATTAGGCAGCTCTACTAAGCCTGAGAGATGTGGCAGCTCTACCCAATACATAGAAATGAAAACAGAGAGACTGCCAAAATGAGGAGACACAGACTTGGCCCAAAAGAACAGAACACAACTCCAGAAAAAGAACTAAACAAAATGGAGAAAAGCATTCTACAAGAAAGAGTTCAAAACACTGGTTATAGGGATGCAATAAACTTAGTGAGAACCTTAACAGAATAAACAAAGGAATAATCAGAAATGAAGGCTACAGTAACTGAAATGAGTAATTTACAGGGAATCAACAGTAAAGTAGATGAAGCGGACAACCAAATCAGTGATTTAGAAGACAAGGTAGCAGGAAAACAATCAGAGCAGCAAAAAGGAAAAAGAATTTTTAAAAATGAGGACAGCTTAAGGGACCTTTGGACATGAACTGAGACAATATCCACATCATAAGGTACAGAAAGAGACGAGAAAGAGCAAGGGATTGAGAACCCTTTTGAAGGAATAATGACAGATAATTTCCATAACATGGTGAAGGAAAAAAGACACACAAGTCTAGGGAGTGCTGAGTCCCAAAAAAGATAAATCCAAAGAGGATCACACCAAGACACATCATAATTAAAATGCAAAGGTTAAAGACAAAGAGAGAATCTTAAAAAGCAGCAAGAGAATTAGTTATGTACAAGGGAGCTCCCATAAGACTGTCACATGATTTCTCAATAGAAACTTTGCAGGCCAGGAGGGATTGACAAGAAATATTCAAACGGATGAAAAGCAAGGACCTACAACCAAGATTACTTTACCCAGTAAAATGATCATTTAGAACCAAAGGACAGATAAAATGCTCCCCCAACAATAAAAAGCTAATGGAGTTCATCACCACCACCTAATATTATATGAAATGTTAAAGGATATTCTTGAAAAGAGTAAGAAAAAATTAAAATAAATAAGAATGCAATAAATACATATCTACCAACAACTGAATCTAAAAAAACAAAATAAACAAACAAGCAGAACAGAAACAAGACATAGATACAGAGAATGTTTAATGGTTGCCAGATGGGAGGAGGATTAGGGGAAGGCTGAAAAAGGTGAAGGGCTTAAGTACAAATTGGTTGTTACAGAACAGTCATGGGGATATAAAGTACAGCACAGGGAACATAGTCAATAATATTCTAGTAGCTAGTATAGTGTCAGATGGGTATGAGATTTAGCAGAATGATCACTCCATTATGTGATGTCTAATGACTGGGGTGTATACCTGAAACTAATAGAACAATGTATATCAACTATATTTAAAAATAAAAATGAATAATAAAATAGGAAAAATGAAAAAAAAAGGAAAAATTATGTAAGGCCAATAAAATATACAACTAGAACATAAATTCATTCTAGATGACATCAATGGACAGTATAGAAAAAAATTTTAATATGTTTAAGATGTTTCAAAGAGAAAAAGGAATCACTACCACTGAAAAATACAGTGGAGTACTAATAGTTTGACATAATTTAGCTGGTAATTTCCCACAACTTAAAAATGTTTTTGCACTGAAGGTACTGAGGAGCAAATACTGAGGAGCATAAAAACAAAT